CGGGAGTAACCTAACACCAGTGCTGAGGACAGGTAGAGGGCAGTGGCTGTCCCCTGGGCAGGGATAACAATAGCAATATGTCTGCTCCAATAAATAAAGTGAGTGGCCAGATAGTAACTAGCCATGTGCTTGTTAGAGGTATCATTAACGTAGCACTATAACGGGAGGAAATTGTGGGGATAATTTTTAATTCGGAAAATGTGACTGGAGCTCCTCCAACTCACAAATGTGAAGGCCTTCCTCCACCCAGAATCCTGGCCTCCCAGGCTTCTTTAATCATGAGCATAGAGAATTTGTCCATATACATTCTTTTCCTGGTCCTCAGTTTACCACAAACAATAAGAAAACATAAAGGCAGTCTACAAATTATTTGAACACCATCAAGATCAGAATTCCAGAACAGTAAGAGAGTAAAAAAAGCACAGAGAAAATTATTTAAAATATGTTGGAAGAAAACTTTCCTGATATCATGAAAGATGAGAAATTAACATTTGAGAAATACAACAAACCCCACATAGGATACACTTCAAAGGAAATCAAGACATATCATAATCAATTTATCCAAAACCATACAAAGAGAATCCTGAAAGTAGCTCAGGAAGAATGAAAACTTACCTACAAAGGAATACCAGTAAGGCTAAACTCTGAATTTTTAACACAAACCATGCAAGCAAGGAGATGACATATCTAACTCTGAAAGAAAATCCTTGATAAGAATTACATATTTAGCAACTTTGTTTCTCAAATATGACAGTAAAATTAGAACATTTCTCAACAAACAGAAATGAAAGAGAATTGTAAAAATCAGACCAACCTTACAAGAAACACAACAGGAAGTTCTTCAGACTGAGTGCTAACAACAGTCATAACAGTCATGTTTGTTTTGGTAGGCCATGCATGACTCCTCTATTTGGTATAGTCCAATGTCTTTCTTTCAATTGTGGTGTTAACCTACTGGAATTTATTTAAAATGGGTTCTTGTAATTCTCTATTGAATGGCTGTACAATTTCCATTTAAATTCTGTCTAGCATGGCTTTTTAATATAATTCTATACCAGTGCTAATCATAGAAAAGAAACTGGTTTAAGAGCTGGGATGTCTATTTCTGAATAGCAGCTTCTATACTAAGAATATTCATTTGTTGTTGTTAGGTGCCATCGAGTCGGATCTGACACATAGTGACCATGTGCAACAGAACAAAATTGTCCAGTCCTGTGCCCTCCTCAAAATGTTCTTATGTTTGAGCCTATTGAGATAGCCACTGTATCAATCCATCTTGTCAAAGTCTTCCTTTCTTTCGCTGCTCCTCTTTACCAAGCATGATGTCCTTCTGCTAGTCTCTCCTGACACATCCAAAGCACTTGAGGAAATCTCACCGTCTTTGCCTCTAAGGAGCATCCTAGCTGTATTTCCAAGGCAGATTTGTTTATTATATATTCATTATGGCTTAGAAATAACCAAAGGTTGAAGTTTCTCTCCTTTTACCAGATAAGAATATATTCTCAAAATAATTCAGAAAATTATCTGGTGGTCTATAAAATAAAAATATATTCTCTCAAAATAATTTGGAAAATTATCTGGTGGTCTATGTTTTCAAATAAACGATTTCCTTTTTGCTCCCCCCTTACACTTCCTTCTTAATCACCTACATTATCAGAACCATTTGAATCCTAGAATATAGGGATTTGTCCAAGAAGTCGTTCTTTTGAGGCTAAGATGCCTTGAAGCAAATCAATTTAATTCTATTAATATTTACTACTTTAGACTAAAAATAATTTGTGTATACTGTAATAAGTTTGAAAGTCATATAACATGCAAATGTGATTTTAAATGTGATTTTGTTCTACTTTAATAGTTAATAAATTATAATAGACTTAAATTTCTAAGTATCATGTTTAAGATGTTTCAAATGTTAAATAGTTCTCTGCTCTTCTGTTTTGCATGGTTATATTCTTTGGACATATGGAGATCTTACTCATTACAACAAAGTCTTATATTTCCCCTAATGTGGAGACTACTCAAAAGAGCTGTATATATAGCCAGTAGATTATAATGCCTAAATCTAATTTGGTATATTTTTATTAATTTGATTAAATAATATTTGTTAAATAATATAGCTAGCATTTCAAATAGTGGAGATTATGTTAACTCACTGTGGTAAATGTTAGAATATATGAAAAAAGAAAAATGAGAACTATGCCAAGTACCAAAAGCCAGGATTCTAACATAACATGTTTTCCTGAACTTTCTATTTAGAATTTCCCTTATTCCAAATACTTTCATGTTGGGGCCATGTTAGGATCAAAATGTAGGTCATTATAAAAATCAAGCAACCTTCCAGCAATTAGCATCCCATATGTAATGCATTCCACAAGCAAAGAACGGGCGCTGTCCACCACCAGTGCAGGCAGTAAGATGTGCACTATCTGTAGAGAATTTAAAAACAATAAAACCTACAAAGTCTACCTTTTATTAGGAGCAATGCTAAACGATGACCATGATAAAATACTCCTTACTGTGGAGCAGAGGATCCCACCACCCCACCCTTCATACATTTGAGATACCATTCTCACCTTTACTTTAAAATATATAGAGAATGTGCTGTCAGTACAAAGGCAGACAGCCTACTGCCTATTGTAATTTTATATGTAAGAATATGTAATATATTTAATCTACTGGAATTGAAAAAATTATGTCTACCAGTGACTTTCTACTTGAATTTTCAGATATCAGTGGCATCAATGCTTTAAAAAGTGACAAATGTGCCCAAGAAAATAACTTAAAGAGGAAATCATGTCCTTGACTAGCATGTAGAAGATTGAGGCTCTACTGTCACAGGGTTGTGGGAGCATAAACGGATAAAGAAAATGGGAGATAAGAATCTCCTCTTCCCTCAACAGATCTTTGTGCCTACAGATCTTCCGTGGTGTGAACATCTGGTAGCAAGGTGGTTCTAGTACATACATATTTTTCCACACAACATAGTTTCTAAGTGAAATCTACTGCATCATCAGTACTTTAGTGGACATCTTAAGGACCTGTCAAAGGTAAGTTTTAGTTTGTGCTAACTACAGAACTGAACCTCTAGTAAGATTTGACTCCATTTTGATTCATTTTAAGACTTAAAATAAGACTTATTCTTTTTTCTTAAAAGACACCCATTCTCAAACATGCTTACATTTATTGACCTCACTCATAGCCGTTGAGTCAATTCTGACCCATAGTGACCCTATAGGATAGTGTAGAACTGTTCCTGTGGACTTCCAAGACTGGAACTATATAGTAGAAAGTCTCATCTTTCACCCCTGGAGCAGTTGGTAGCTTTGAACTGCTGGTTTTGCGTCTAGTACTCCAATATATAACCACTAAGCTAACAGAGCTCCTTTTATTGACCTGGACTTAGATAAACAAGGCCATGGCTAGTGGCAATAGTTTATTAAACTGTGTATTTTTGCTGACTCTGTGGATCCTGAGTTATTAAAGGCATGAAAAACTGAGGAAACCTAAAAAATACATTAACAAAAGATAAGCTAAAGCAGAAAAGTACATTATTGATATTCTCTTCACCTATGAGTCCCATATGTATAGAATTTGCTGTTATCTTTAGGGAGCTATTTACAGATTTTTTTTTCCCTTTCATATGCTAACAGGTGGAGAGGAGAGACGTGCTGTTGGGTCAGCTCACAATGGCCTCATGTACAAGGCTTCCTGGGCCTACCCCTTCAAAACCATTACTATAGCCAAGCTCATTGTCGCAGCCACTGTCTATCTTGTTGAGAGTCCTCCTTTTTTTCTTTGACCCTGTACTTTACTAAGCATGGTGTCTCTTTACAGGGACTAGTCTCTCCTGATAATATGTCCAAAGAACATGAGTTAAAGTCTTGCCATCTTTGCTTCTAAGGAGCCTTCTGGCTATACTTCTAAGACAGATTTGTTTGTTCTTCTGGCAGTCCATGCTATAGTCAATATTCTTTGCCAACACCATATTTCAAAGGCATCGATTCTTTGGTCTCCCTGAATCTTCATTTAGCCTCACATACATGTGAGACAATGGAAAATAACATGTCTTGGGTCAGGCACACCTTGGTCCTCAAGGTGTTGTTTTTGCTTTTTAACATTTAAAGGAATTGTTCTGCAGACTTTCCCAATGCAATATGTCATTTGGCTGATTAATGACTGCTTCCATGGGCATTGCTTGTGTATTAAAATAATATACAACTCCAATATTTTCTACATTTACCATGATATTGCTTATTGGACCAATTGTAAGGATTTTTGTTTCTGTTGAGGAGTAATCCATACTGAAGACTGTAGTCTTTGATCTTTATTGAGCAAATGCTTCAAGTCCTCTTCACATTCAGAAAGGTAGTCTCATCTGCATATCCCACTTTTTAATGAGTGTTCCTGCAATCCTGATGCCAAATTATTCTTCATGCAGCCTAGCTCCTTAGATTATTTTGTCAACATACATATTGAATAAATAAGAAGAAAGGCTATAACCCTGATTGTTTTGTTAGTGAATTGGCTTTTGGTTAATGTATTTATCCTCTCAGTAAAAGGTAAAACAATTCTTTGCCAATTTCTTGGGCAAACAGGATTCCAGTGTTGATATACATTATTATATATTTTCTAACAATGCATAACAGATTACTTCATACTGAAAATATTCTACAATTAGGAACCTGATTAACATGTGTATTTATTAATAATTGCTGTACTTTGTTGAAGGCATAGGCCTTTTGCCATGAGACATATATGTGTGTGTGTGTACACACATAAACCCAATGTTGAAAGAGGAAGAATAGCTGAAAACCAGAATCTGAATTCAAATAGTTCCCTTTAAAAATTTTTCAAGTTTTCAAATTAGTTGTTTTAGACTAAAAGTGTTGCAAGTGTTATAAGCTGTAGTTCAGTTCCAAAGTATGTCCATAGTTTAAATCAATTTAAACCATAATTAGAATGAATTTTAGTCACATGCTTAATAGAAAGAAAACTCTTCATCAATTTTGAAGTTTATTTATTTGTTTTTCCATAGACTGGGTTTTAGCAGCGAGGCCCAGGGAGCCCTACACGCCAGATGATATAAACTACTGTCTAGAAGCTGTAAGTTTTTGAGCACATGATGACAGTTTGGGTCCTACATGAGATAGGGCCCATAGCAATCGAGGAAAGGGCAAAAGAAAAAAAATTAGATAATAAAATAAGTCGAAGTGAGTACTCTTGAGTAGGCATCCATTGATCACAGTGGTTTTGCTGCTCCTACACACAAACATTAGTTTAAAAAACTCAGCTTAGGCTTACAAGTGAAAGTGTGGAAAAATAACCAAGTAATACCTCAGTTTTGAAGGTCATTATGGTCGGATATCACCTGTGATTGAAAAATATGAAGAAAAAGTACAAGCTATATTTAGTAAATATCTCGATGTTTAGTTCTTAATTGCAAATTGGGATGCACATTATATAACGAAATTTAAACAACAAAATTCTTTAAGAAAAATTTTAGTAAAAACTCCACTACATATTAAAGCCCTATAGTAGTCTGACCTGCCTGTTTGTTTATGAGCCACAGTGACTTTAGCAGGTTGTAGAGGAAAATCTCAAGTTTTAACCTGTCAAATTATTAGCTAAATATCTTCCAGCTAGATTTTTAAGCTCCAAGCTGCACATAACCAAATCATGTCACAATTAAAGTTCTGTCCTTGAACTGTTAGTGTTCTAATTATCTGTCTTCCATAAATTGTATCCATTGCTTTCCATTTCAGTAGTGTAATAGCGCAGGAGAGATGAAAACGTATTTTCATAATATTAGCAAACACTATTAATGAAAAACAATTCTTAAAAAAAGGCTGGCACCAGGTTTAAGAAGTCAAGACTAATCATACAACTTCTGTGGGCTCTGAGGAACTTCAATTGACCTCAAAACAGATGCACACGCTGCCACACTCTAACACAGTCAGAAGTTAACACTTAAAAAAAAAAAGGAAAAATATTAGAGAATATGTAAAAGTGGCATGATGGGGGCATATGATCACTACTAGCATCAACCTTTCAAACCTTTTTACCAATTCTGACACCAACCATCCCCACCCATGGCATTCTCTACTTCTCTGCTGGGTTTGATAATTCATCGAATGGCTACACCAAACTCACAGACTTTACTCACCATTGTGGGTTTATTAGAAAAATTATCACGTTGCAATTCAAGACTTGGGAAGACTCAGAAAATTCTAGAGTTCAGTGGTCAGGACAGTTCATTGGTTAGGCTCACAGGCAGACCTCTCCTTGTCTTCTAAAGCTTTGAGGGCCTTTTCAGCCTCTGCTCTGCTTGGGCAAGTGCTACAAAGCTCTTTAACTCCACCAATTGCTTAGATGCACCGCTCCACCAGCTCGTCTCCTGCCTAAAGGCACTCGGCTTTTTCACCTTATGAGCCAGGAAGCCCATTGTACCATCTCCTACTGCCCTTATTTCTCTGTTGCTGCCTCTTACTGTCTCCAGCTCTATAGCAGTCTTCTGAGTCCAGGAGGTTCTCAGGGCAGGATCCAAAGGACACACTTCCTCCTAGCTCATCTTTCTTGGTGATAGTGAGGTCTCCCATTTCTGCCTCTGGATGGCTCATTTTAAGCCTAGAACGATAGCCAAACTGACCAATCCCCTTGCTAGGTTTCCATGTAACTAATTTCTCTCAGCCCTCACAAAGGTGCCATGAACCTAATTTGCCTTATTAGCAAGTTGTTCAATCCTCTTGGTAGGCCACAAGCGCCTTATTTGCATAGTTCCACCCAGTCATCTGGCAGGAATTTCAAGAGCATACATAAAAACAGAAAAGTGATCCATCTCACCACAATACCAATAATATGGTTATTCTATTATAACCGCAGACTAACAGTAATATGATTATTCTAATAGGCTATAATATAAAAATAAGTTCTTATGGTATATAACAATATATGTCTGATGGGTTTTTCTACTCTAAGCAGTTTTGTTTTTTAAGTATGCCTAGAAAAAATGTAAGCAAACTTATGTGAAAATATTTAGGTATTACTTCTGGAAAGTGTTCCTTTGGTTATTACGGAAATATCAATTAAAACTTCTCAAATATACTATAGAAGACAAATGCCTCTAGAGTATGCAAAAGGACTAGAGATGCTTTCCTTCCCGTCTTTCTTTTACCTGAGGGAAGAACTAGCGAGCTTCAGCTTTAATTTTTTAACAAATTAGGAAAAGGAGTATTTTACTTATCCGCTAAGTTAAAAGTTCTGTTCCTAAATGGCTAAGTTTGGGAGTCACTTGTTTTCCTAGCGACTTCAAGGGAATCAGCAGTCACTGATCCGACCCCAGCTCCGAGGCCAGAACGCCGCAGGGAGAGTTCCGAGGCAGAAATCTGACGGAGCTCTTTGCGACACAGCTTTACAGGAGTCACTCCATGAAGCTGCCCCACACTTCCCACTGGTGGAATTTGTGGTGACTGTTTATGAGATTTTGTAAATGGATTTTCATCCATTTCTGTTTTATCTTCATTGCTTAATAAATGCCCACTAGTGGGTGCTAGAGAGTTATACATTTGAGGTAATTCTGCGCCCTCTTCACAAAGCTTGGGAGGATTTGATTGGGTCCTTAAATTGCTTGCAGAGCTATCTATTTCTCTTTCTTTTCTACTTGAATTCATATTTTCAGTTCCAGGTTCCAATTTTAATTCTTCTAAAAGCATGCTTGCTTCTGGATTCAGGGACCCATCCCCCGCACCATGATCTAAAAAATAACACATAAAACCCACAAAAAAATTAGTAATTATTTCTTCAGAATTAGCGATTTTAATCATAATACCCTAACATAACTTGATTATCACTTAAGATAAGTAATGTCTTTTATCTGCTCTTGTTAAATAATTTTAAGAAGAATTATGACTATAAATTATTCTAATAGAATTATCAATATGGATTATTCTAATTTTACTTATGGGCATCATGCCTATGAATAATTCAGAACTTTTCATTCTTGGCCAAAGTTGAAAACCAGTCTTCTAGTACTCCCTGGAGACAAAGGGCTTGCCTTTGTTTGCCCACCTGCCCTGGGCTTGCCACTGGTGAATCACATTCCAAATGCTTGCCTAGTAAAACCAGTGTTGGAGGGTGTTAGCTCTGCCCTTGTCTCCAGGGACTCTTCTGAGACTTGGCAGTATATGGATGGAAATCTGGCCATTGGTGGCAGTTGTAGCATGCTAAGTTTCTCCTGTCCCAATTTACGCTGGGTATATGCCCTCAAAATTGAGAGACCCCTCTCATGGAATAAGTGATTAATAAGTTTTCAAAGCTTGAGGTGCTCAGGTAATAGAATCACTTAAATATCAATGGCCTAAACTTGCTGACATGAAAAGCTACATAGGTACTAAGATGAGCCATATCCTTAGTCAACTTGCAGTCCTGCAAAGACTGCAAAATTTAAAACAGATTGCAAATTGGTGGACAGTCATATTTTGCTTGGTTTATATGTTACAATTTGACTCTAAATTTTAAATTGAAAGGTTTCACATGGAAAAAATAGTTGAGAAAATTTAGAAAAATTCTTTGAACCAAGATACTAGAACACATTTCTACATGGGAACCAGCAGCTAGATCAGCATGGTTTCCCTCTGACCTCTCGGATCCCTGGCGGCACTGTTAAATAGGCCGTGGCCCATTACCTACCAGCCCTGAAATTCAAACCCTCCAGCTGCTCCACAGGATCTGTTCCCTTCTAGATTTACAGCCTCACAAACCCTATCTAGGGCCACTAGGAATCAGAATAAGCTTAATGGCAGTGAGTTAATTGGAGCTTAAAACAACGATTCTAGTTAATTCTAAAAAAAAATCCGAACTACCAAATGGCATAGATCCTCAGGTGAAACTAGAGCATATAGTCACTAAGTTGGCACACAGACTGCTGCATTGTAACCTGGACACTTAAAAAAAAATCCTGATGCCAAGGCCTAATGTCTTGGGGGGGGGCGGGGGAGCCAGGCATCTTGCTCTGTAAAGTACAGATATGAAAACAGGACTATTTGGAAAGGCTTTATCATCCATGGTGTACATGAGCCCACTAAGGTCTTTTCTCTCTTCCAGGGTTCTCTGTGGAAGTCAAACATAACTATGCTGGAGACCTCTGCCTGTATGCTCCAGCAGATTATGAAATTTCTTCTTTGTCATGGTGAAAGGTACTTGGGCCTGAGCTCTTCTTCCTCATTTTCTCTCAGATAATTGAAGCTGCTTTCATGAAGGGACCAATATTAAGAATTCCCAGCTAATTAATTGTAGAATTTTAATCTAAAACTAAATTACATTCTATATCATTTAATAATTAAGGTGTCATGCATAGAGGTTCAAGATCTCTTTTTGATATTTATATTAAATATGTGCACCAGCTTCACACGTGTCTATGCATGTATATATATTTATGCTGTTGCACCAGCAAAAAGTGCCAGGCTGTTCTTGGCATCCTGTTTGAGGATGAACATGACGGGTTCCAGTTTTCCAGGGCTTCACAATCCAGAAGGTATGAAGGAGGCTAACAGTCTGAGAACCTGTGATAGGTACTACAAACAAATGTAGAAAGGGCCCAAGCACCTAAGGAGGAAGAAATCTCTGGAGTAATTCATAAAGGGGGAAAAGAGTTTGCCTGGTAGGAGAAGAAAAGGAGGCTCAGAAGACCAAAGATACATCTTCTACAAAGGTGTGAGACAGTTTAAAAGTACCAGTCTCCAGATGTCACTACACATAGGAAAAGTGGAGGGTGAAGTTAAGAAGTAGCTAGGAGACCAGGTAAAAATATGGAAAGGTAATATGGTTTAATGGGCAAAGAACACCACTGATTCTGAGTCTATAGATTTAGATTCTACTCCTGCTCTGCCTCTAATTAACTAAATTCATAGTGCAGATTAGTCTCTGGACCTTCAGTTGGTAATCTTTAAAATGAGAAAAACTCTTCATCATTTAAAGGATTATAAAGGTATTTTCAGCTATGAGAGTATTATGTTCTTTACATAAATATTATATTTATGTTGGCATCTTTTATCCTGAGTCAGATTTTAAACTAATTATGAACCTTAATCATTTTATATTACTAGTCTATTATTTAGAAAGAAAATCTAAGAGTTCTACTAGTGTAAAAGTCCTAGATCTGAACTACTAGATGCTACTCTGACTTGTTTTCTTTAAATAATGGGAGTCACAACAACAAATGGCACAAAAAATTGTAGAAAGATTGCTCTTCCTAAGGCCATTCAAAAGCAATTGAAATATTAAGAAACCTAAAAAAGTTGGAGTGCAAACTAGCAAAAGCATAAGTTGTTTTCTAATGTTAATTAGGTCAATGAAACCAATGTTTAAGTCTAAATCACAGCACAGACAGGTTAGTAAGAGTCATGCACGTGCTTTTTAGTGATAATGGGGGAACGATTATGAGATCCCAATATAACAGTGATATATAGTTTATAACACCTTTAAACAAATTTGAACCCTAATTATTGCTTACGAGTTGCCCTGCTCTCTAGGAAGGCAATCTGATAATATTTTTAAAAGTCATAGACCAGAACCATTACATTTTATTCTGGCTTACATGTCTTAAATAGGAAACAGCCAAGAAAATGTTGGGGATTACGTCTTAATCTGTTATTATTGCATATATTTTAAAAGCTGCATAAATATTTTAGAAGAACATGTGTACATTTAAAATTAAATATTACATAACATTTAAAATTCAATCAGTCAACAGATATCTGTCTATCATGTGCCAGGCCCTGTGCTGAGTGATTTCACTTATATTGTTTCATTTTCTTCCCAAACCTTCCTGGTAGATGGTACTGTGTTTCCTTATTTTACAGCTAAAAGGAGAGACTAGAAGCAGATAAATTGGGCTCCTGGCCAAACATTTAATAAAAGAAGTTGGAATTCTAACTCGGTCTGACTCTAGTAACTTCATGTATAGTTTTATGTTTATATAAATTGATAATAGGTATAGAGTTTTAAATACTTAACTAAGAAGGCAGACTACAGGTCAGTACTAACTGATTTTATTTCTACAAAAATATGTTAGAGGACAGACAGTTGCACCACAACAAAGACATGACCGAGAAGTGACCAAGTAAAAATATTTCTGCTGTTTGAAAAAGCTAAAATATTTTTTTTAAATGAAAACAAGCCTGGTAGGAGTCAGTGAAATGATTAAACAATAACAACAACTGAACAAATAACCACGATCATTACATATTAAATTATGACAGTTAATTATGTATATAAGATACTGCAGAAGACTCAGAATTTGATGTATTTAAATATTATAATCCCAACAAACCTTGCTTAATGTCATTATGTATATTAGAGTAGCATTTTAAGATTTTTTAAAAATCCTTTTATTGGGATTCATACAACACTTTATTTTTTCCGTACAGCTCTTATCACAATCCATCCGTCCATTGTGTCAAGCACATGTGTACATTTGTTGCCATCACCATTTTCAAAACATTTTCTTTCTACTTGAGCCCTTAGTATCAGCTGCTCTCCCCTCACACACACACCCTTAAGATATTTTTAACTGTATAACCTAACCCTTAAGATATTTTAACACCAAAATGAATTATGCTAAAATGTTAATGGTTGTGGGTAGGCTTATGATTGACTTTTTTCTGTGCTTTTTTTTTTTCCCTCAAATTTTTCTATAATGACAATACTATTACTTTTTATAGCCCCAAATAAAAGTATATATAGGTAAAATAGAAAATTAGCTGAAAGAATATCTTCAACAAAAATCTGTACCTAGTATAGAGGGTACAATAGGTTGGTAGGTCAGACAGGTGTTTTCATCATTGTACACATATCTCCAAGATCCACTAACTTTGCTTAGTCTTAGCTTTTTATGTTTGTGTCATTAAAGAGCACAACCAGAACTCTGGTTTCTTAAACCTGTATACTACACCATACTGTCCTTATAGAAATATTAAGCAGACTTTAGTAGCATCAACATGGGCCATTTAAAGCTAGATATCTCAAATGTTTAAAGGGATTAAAAAAAAACAACTATTCCTATCTTACACTGGTCTCTGTTTCCTATTTAATACCTTTCAATTGTTTACACTGCCAAGTTGGAAATCAGAAAACTTAGTCTGTCAAGATTTGTATGTATCACCTCTCTCTCTGAAGGCAACTCACCCCCAGCAGTTACTATATTGGATGTAATTCATACATCATATAATTTGATAGTTTAATCACATCAAGAAGAGTTGTGCAATCATCACCAGTTTTAGAACATTTTCCTCATTCTTGCACTTGTTATTAGCTCCCCATTTCCCACCAACCTCCCCTGCCATACGCTACCCATAAGGAACCGTTAAATCCAGGTTACTGTCTCTATAGACTTACCTATCCTGAATTTTGAAGACAACTTTTATTTTGAAATACTGAACCAGGAGTCAGTAGACAAGGGATTATAGAACATACTTTATTTACTGTTCTATCTATGCATCACTTCCACTCTCAGTTTCATTTCCCTCTTCTAAAACTGATGATAACAGATACTAGCCTACCCGGAGGTTTGAGGGTCAAATGAAACTATTTGTAAAAATATATGTGAATTATAAATATCACAATTATAAGGTAGCCTTAAAATTACTTTTCTAAAATATCCCTGAGTGTAAAATTTTAATACTTTGCTAATTCTGCTTTTAAGTATATATTTAGATTATATCTTTTGATTGCGCATTTATTTAATTTTTCACTGGTATCTTTACAGTTTCTGTACCAAACAATTTTCTTTACAGGTATAGAATATATGTTCCTGAAATAAACAAAAACCAAAAAACATGTGTTCCTAAATGGTTACAAATAAATAACATGTAATAGAATTAAATAAACAATATTTTAATTACTAAAAAATACTCTTCAAAGTAAAGCTATGTTTTTTTTTACATTATTGATTCCTGGTTGCGGGGAGGGAGATGAGCCAGTCAGGGTACAGAATAGCAGCGATGAAACATATAACTTTCCTCTAGTTCTTTAATGTTTCCTTCCCCCCACTATCATGACCCCAATTCTACATTACAAACCCTACTAGACCACAGCATACACACGGGTACAGATAAGAACTGGAAACACAGGGAATCCAGGACAGATAAACCCCTCACGACCAATAATGAGAGTAGCGACACCAGGATGGTAAGGGAAAGGTGAGGGCAGAAAGGGGGAACCTACCACAATATCTATAACCCCCTTCCTGGGGGGTGGACAACAGAAAAGTGGGTGAAGGGAGGCATCGGTCAGTGTTAAGACATGAAAAAATAATTTATAAATTATTAAGGGTTCAGGAAGGAAGGAGGATGGGGGAGGGAGGGGGGAAAAGATGAGCAGATACCAAGGGCTCAAGTAGAAAGAAAATGTTTTGAAAATAATGATGGCAACAAATGTACAAATGTGCTTGACACATGGATGTATGTATGGATTGTGTTAAGAGTTGTATGAGCCCCCAATAAAATGATTAAAATATATATATTGATTCCTATTTGCCTGGTCTACAGAGAGTATATTTTAATCTTAACAGTATTTTATTCTCAGGGCACTTTTTGCTGTGTTTTATCATTTCATTCAGGAAAATGTAGAAAATTCCATTAACTTTTAATTCCATTTTCCCACAAATTTTTAGAAGTCCTCTTGTCCATAAGAAACCCAGGTGGTATATAGTATGTTCCACACCGAGCTACTGATCCCTCGGTAAGCGGTTCATACCTGCCTGCTAGTCTCCGATTTGAAGCTCAGAAACCTGAGTCGCTGAGAGGGTTGCTGTAGGTTGGAATCAGCTGGATGGCAGTGAGTTTGGTTTGGGGAGTTTTTTAGCTTTTGTACAGATAATATTATTTTGTCCTTGCTTGTATTATTCTCTATTTATTTTGCATCTTTTTGTTGTTGTGAGAATCCAAAGGCTTAATTTATAGTATTGAAATGATTGTGTTTATCTATTCTAAAGGCTCGTTAAGAATTAAGGGAGTTAACAAATACAAAAGTCCCTGGTGTAGGAGGGTGATGTGGTGTGTGGGGATGGTGATGGCAGTCAGTAAATGACTATTTCCTTCACACATAAACATACTATCCAGTCAGTTCTCATGTGGCTTTGATATACAATGAGAAAAAAAACCCAACAGTCAATTCTAGCTCATAAGGACCCTATAGAACAGAGTTGAACTGCTCTAGAGCAGCAGTTCTCAACCAGTGGGTTGCAACCCTTTTGGGGGTTGAACGACCCTTTCACAGGGGTCGCCTGATACATAACAGTAGCGAAATTATAGTTATGAAGTAGCAACTAAAATAATTTTATGGTTGGGGGGGTCACCACAACATGAGGAACTGTATTAAAGGGTAGCAGCATTAGGAAGATTGAGAACCACTGCTCTAGAGGGTTTCCAAGCTGTACCTTTTTACAGGCACAGACTGCTACATCTTTCTCCCATAGAGCTCCTTCATATATGTACTTAAGACTACCCGGTAACTAGTTGCCTTCAAGCTGATTCTGGTTCATGTGCTTCAAAGTAGAGCTCCAAGGAGGGTCCTTTTTAATGGCTGTCACCTTTGGGAAGAAAACTGCCAGGTCTTTCTTCCAAAGCGCCTCGCCAAGAATTCCAACCACTAACATTTCCGTTAACAGTCTAGTGCTTAATTAATTGTGCTACCCAGGGCCTGCTATACTAGGCAGCTATTTTTGTTTACCGTCGAACCCAAAGATAAGTAATAACTCAGTTGGAGTAGGTACACTGTGGATCAGGCATGCCTCCCCTCCATTCTAGCAGCAACAAGTGTCTTACATTCTGATGGTGCCAGTTGTCGTTGAATTGCTCCCCCCAGCAGTTCCTTAAGATTCTTCTTAAGATCCCTGCTAGTTTTCTTATAGAAATAAAGATCTTTCTCCAGCTGCTGAATCTTATCTTCATAGGTTTTAAAGGTCTCCACAATGCCTTCCCCATCTGATTCTATAAAACAGAAATTCACATTGAAATTAACTTTTAACTACATCCCTGAAAGTTATGATTGAACACTGCATCCAGATTATTTTTAGAGTCAGAAGTATGTTACACTTATCTGCTATTTGAATGGATTTGTTTGTAGCTCAAATTTGCCGTTTTCAACCACCAAAATCTTTTAAAAGATTGAAACCTGTCTCCTTCCCCACCCTTTCCTCTTAACAACCAACACATGTCTGTGATACATAAGCACTTTCTGTAGTAGCCCCTAACTAAAGTTATCATTGGAGAACAGAAGTAAGGAGTTTTCTATTTAAAATATTCACATAGTTGGAATTCTGTCCATCTGTTGCATATATATTAGGAACTGTAGCTATATGGAAAGCTGTGAACCTAAGGTTTATAGGCCCAAGAAATACATAGCTCAAAACCAAGCAAAATCCAAAAACATGTGAAAAAGAGCTTAGAAATATAAGGATGTTCACCCCGACACTCTTCTCAATAGCTAAAAGACAGAAACAACTTAAATGTCTTTCAGGAGATGAATGGATAAACAAACTGTGGTGCATACATAAAATGGAGTACTACTCAGTAGGAGAAGTGAAATCCTGATACATGCTATAGTGTGACTGGAGCTTGAAGACATTATGCTGAGTGAGTGATCACAACAGGAAAATACTGTATGATCTCACTCACATAAAAAGACAAGAAAAGGGAACTGTATAAGGACTAAAGTTTCATTAATGGTTACCAAGGGCAGGAAGGAGAGGGAAAAGTGATGGGAAAATCACACTGATTCAGGGTAGGGTTGCTCAGCAAATTATTGTAACTGCTGTCGATAAATTGTGTACCTGTAGCAACAACAAAAATACAGCTGCTGAGGCCGCTTAAGGATAACCAAGCACCTCATGGGATTTATTCCTTGGTTCCTGGTTTCATAGGACATCGCAGCTAATTGGCCTAATAACATGTTTAGTACTTCTGTTCTACATCCTAGTTCATTACATAGTGCCTGGGATCTTAAAAGCTTGCAAAAGGCTGTCCAAGGCACAACCTGGAGCAACAGACAAAGGAGGGTGAATAGGAAGAAGAAATGTAAAGTGTGGATAACTGACTCCATGAGCAACTGCTTCCTGTGCAGTGAGACCAGAATTGGATGGCACCTGACCACTATTGTTGAATACTTTTATCAAAGTTTCAATAAAATACTCCTGCTCAAAAGGGAGAAAATGAAGAAGGGAATTTTAAATGCTCATGGATTTTAGACTTTCTGAAGTAATAGAGGGTAGATGAACACTTGAAACTATTGCCCTGACATAATATTTAAACCTTAAACTAAATATATCCCCTGAAGTCCTCTTAAAAATCAAATCATAGTTTAGCTTAACTAGTTTTAAAAAAAACACCACAAACCCACTCTTTTAAGAATTATCTATATGGGTTCAAATTGACTATAGCAACTTGAAAGATGAGACAGGAACCTTAAGGGGCAGAGGGGCTATGCTAACCAAGGAGTGACAGTGGTTGCACAACGCAAAGAATCCACTTGATGTCACTAAGTTGGACATGTAGGAACAGTTGAATTGGTGTATGATTTGTTTTGCTTTGTATCCTCAATTTATAAATAAATAAAATTTAGAAAAAATGTTAGTAAATTATAAAGGAAAACCATGCAAATTAAAGGAAAATGAAGTGCAAAGTAAATTTTTAGTTTATGCTACAATATAACTTTCAAGTTTCTAATTATTTATGAATGTCTAAAACTCTCCCCACTGCATATTTATAAAATAGTACTACTGGTTTATAATTTTGTATTTTTTCATTTTGAATACACTTATATTGTTTTTTAAAACACTTAAAATTACACTGAAAATAAAAATCCTTATAAAGTATATTATATAAAACAACTTAACTATATCTCCTACATCTCATTAGAATTAGAAAATTCATAAATTGTTACTATGTAGCTATTATTACTGTAGCATTATTAATGAAAAACCTGTATAACTATAGAAATTAATACTTTTAAGTTTTAAAAAAATATCTTATTTAACTATGGCATGAGCTCTTGTGGGACAATGCCAGTCAGTTTTAAAATATTTAAAGTAAGGGAAAACTATAATAAGGAGAGTATATTGAAATGCAATGATAAAGTCATAGAAAACCATCAAGGAAATTCTGTCAATTGGCTGCTGATTAACTAGTTGTAGATATAAACACATTGCCTCAACACAAAAATGTATTTTCCAGTTTTGGCTTATTCATGTTGCTTTTTCCAGGCCGCTTTGAACCCATATGTAACATGGATTGCAGCAGTAATGGTGTACCTGGTATATCTTGTTGTCTTGGCAACAGCTCATATACTGGCTGTGTGTCCAGGTAACGTGATTGTTGAGATAGTAGCTCTCTTTCTGCATCAGAGTTGATGGATTAACAACTGTGTAATGATAACAGTGGGTGCCCAGCAACCGTAGGCTAATTATGACCTAATATAACCTAGCATAAATTCAAAAGCAACTAAAAATGATAACAAGAACAACAATGTAGGAATCTGATGGAACCTAATGCTTTGATCTTGTGAATGAAAAACAAATACCACAGTACTATATCTGTAGGAGACGGAAAATTTCTAATGGGAGCTGAAAAGTTAAAAAAAAAAAATTACCATATTAAAAAAATCCCCACCATATTCCCATTTTCTGTTGAGAACAAGAACAGAAACAAAGAGTTGCAGCAGTTTCTATGTGTATACCTGGGGCAAGCAGAAGGGATAGTACTTAGAGCATACATGTGCCCTGCATGAGAGTCAACTATACCAAAGCATGGTAACCAAAACATAAAGCAAAATGAAGAATTAAGTATTTATACAGGTTGGGACTTTTTATGATCAAATTCTGTTCTGTCTTCCTTCCTCAATGCTCAGCTTACCCATTACATTTCCCTGACCAAAAATAGGAGTTACCTTTAAAATGATGTAACAGCAACTGCATCTTTTGCTCATGCTCCTTTTGCTGGAGGGTCAGTCTCCGGTCACACTGCAATTTCAGATGCTCAAGTGCAGATTCCAGCTCACGAACTGCATTATCCTGTTCCAGAACTTTCACTTTTATTTCTTCATTCTCCAACTGTAGTTTCCGTTTAGCTTCTCGCAAATTAACCACCTAGCAAATACATTTTTAACCTTTTAAAATACCTCGTAAATAACCTAATAGTTGACTATGTACAAAAAGATGAACTTTCTCAATCACCACGGTATCAGTGATTTCTGCAAATGTATTTGGTCACCAGGCAAATGCTCTGTAACATACCAACAAACAACAAATTGGTTGGGATTCGAAATAATGATACATGAAATATAATACATTTATAATGTTAAGCGGGCCCATCACCATAGGGTGAGGCACTAAGGGCATGCAGCAGAGCAGCTGGGGAAGCAGACTGATGAAAACCCCAGGGAATACCAAAAATAGAGTGTGGAGACACTCTTTGGAGAGAGTGTGGCACTCCATCAAACTCGCTGGCAAACACTCATAAAGGCCAACAAACAGACCTTGAACTATTTATATGCTTCTCCGTTTTTGTCAGTGGCTTTTCGTTATTGTTATTTTGTGTTTGTTTTTTGCTGTTGCTGTTATTGTTTTGTTGGTTTGAATTCCTTTGTTGTGTTATTTGGCTTTGCCTGTTTTTTGCACTTGTCTGCATGTCTAGATAAGATAGGCGGGATAAATAATATCGGAGATGAAAAGAATGGGACCAATGGTTGGGGGTGGTGGTGTGGAGACAAGAGAAGGGGAGGTGGGAGAAAGGAAATGGGTGGGGTGGGGTGGACCAACCCAGGGACAAGGGAACAAGTGATCCAAAATCAGTGGCAAGGAGGGTGTAAGAGGCCTGGCAGGGATTGATCAAGCGCAACGTAACCAAGAGGAATTACTGGAGCCCAAATGAAGGCAGAGCATGATAGTGGGACAAGAGGAAAGTAAAAGGAAATGGAGGAAAGAACTAAGAGGCAAAGGGTATTTATAAAGATCTAATTATAGGCATGTAGTACATATGTAAATATATTTATATATAAGGATGGGGAAATAGATCTATGTGCATTATATAGGTTTAGTATTAAGGTCATAGATGGACATTGGGCCTCCACTCAAGTACACCCTCAATGCAAGAACATTGTTCTATTAAACTGGCATTCCATGATGCTCACCTTCCCTACACGATCACTGACGACAAAGCAGATGCATAAGCAAATGTGGTAAAGAAAGATGATGGTGCCCAGCTATCAAAAGATATAGCGTCTGGGGTCTTAAAGGCTTGAAGGTAAACAAGAGGCCATCTAGCTGAGAAGCAACAAAACCATATGGAAGCACACCAGCCTGTGTGATCACGAGGTGTCGAAGGGATCAGGTATCAGGCATTAAAGAACAAAAAATCATATCATTAAGAATGAGGGACAGTGCAGAGTGGGGACCCAAAGTCATCTGTAGACAACTGGACATCCCCTTACAGAAGGGTCATGGGGAGGAAAAGAGACAGTCAGGAAGCAGTGTAGCAACAATGAAATATACAACTTTCCTCTAGTAATGAAATGCTTCCTCCCCCTGACTATCATGATTCCAATTCTACCTTATAAATCCGGCTAGGCCAGAGGATGTACACTAGTACAGATAGGAACTGGAAACACAGGGAATCCAGGATAAATGATCCCTTCAGGACCAGTGCTGAGAGTGGCCATACCCAGAGGGTGGAGAAAAGGTGGGGTAGAAAGGGGGAACGATAACAAGGATCTACATATAACCCCTCCCTGGGGGACGGACAACAGAAAAGTGGGTGAAGGGATACGGACAGTGTAAGACATGACAAAATAATAATTTATAAATTATAATTACTTATAAATTATCAAGGGCTCATGAGGGAGGAGGGTAGCAGGGAAGGTGGGGAAAAATGAGGAGCTGATACCGAGGGCTCAAGAGAGCAAATGTTTTGAGAATGATGATGGCAACAAATGTACAAATGTGCTTGACACAATGGATATATGTATGGATTATAATAAGTTACATGAACTCCCAATAAAATGATTTTTAATGGCATTTTTAATATACTGTCCTAACAACTACCCCTTTAGTAGACATTTTATATTTTTATGATTGTACAAAAGAGGAAATAAGAAACTAAAGACTATAATAACATCTTTGGACATGTTGCCAGGAAAGACTACTCCCTGGAGAAGGAAAAAGAGGAAGACCTTCCACAAACTAGATTGACACAGTGGCTGCACTGATGGGCTCAAACGTAAGGACAGTTGTGAGGATGGCACAGGACGGGGCACGATTTCACTCTGTTGTACACAGGGTTGCTATGAGTCAGAACTGACTCAATGGCACCTAACAACATACAATTCTTAGTTTTAAACCCAAAATGGATGTTATAAATAAGTGATAGAATATTCCTAGCTATAAACACAAAATTCAATTTCAGATTATGTCTTTAGCTCACTGGGTTCTTCTCTGCACTTATATAAATTGAAAATACAAAAGAGAATGTCTTGTGTCACAGACGACACTAATAATGTAATGACCTTAAAGTATTCATTTTAACAAGGGATTCTTGGGTTCAAAGAATCCATTGAGCTTGGCTTAAATACCCTCTTGCTTTGTGAGCACCAACCACAGACTTATGCTCTATCAGTACTGAGAACAGTCCTCCACTGTTTTCTGCCATTCAAATAACCAGTCAAGGTATTTGTTTCATCAGTAGTAGTAGCCTCAATTACTAGTGCCCATGGTCATCTGAGAGGAGGGCGCTACCTAACATTTCCACTAATGTTTTCATCATCACTTTTCTTATGTAACAACATTAGAACTTTATCTTTAAACCACCATTTTATTTTGCACAGGTTATCTGGTGTTCCTTTAAATTGAATATATTTTTTAGGAGAGGAGTTGCCTAGTCATTAACTCTAAATATCGTAAGAGAAAATAAATGAAAGATTAATAGATTTCCTAATGCCATAATACATCTCTGAATTAGTTGTCAAATTGGCACGCAATAACCTTTTTTCATTGATATTAAACACATTTGGGTTAATGCTAATATCTTTTACTATCTTTGGAGTGGAGGTGCCACTTCGTGTCCATTTTAACGCATGGGGTTGTGATGAGTGAAGGAAAAAGAACCCAAACCTGGAATGCCCTTTGAGTGTCATGTACGCTAACTCAGCACACTCACCGCCATCCTGTCAATTCCAACTGCCCCTGTGGGCCCACGACTTTAAACTATGGTTAGGAGTAGACAGCCTCACCTTTCTCCCTCAGAACAATGGGTGTGTTCAAACCACTGCCTTGCAGCTCAATGTGCAACCAGCTACGCCACCAGACCTTCTTAAGGATGTTAACTAGCAACAGCCAAATCAAGAACACATCTTATTTATGCGACCTGGGAATATAATTTAAATTATTTGTTTTGAAAAAATATTTTTGGAAGTTCTTTTGAAAACTTCCAACCTGAGGAACCCCGTAAAAACCAGGTTAATGAAAATAGAACAACCAGAACAGAAATAATGTTCACACAATATATCCCAAATTATTGGATAGGAAGCTAAACTGCTTACGTGAACCTTCATCAGAATAACAGATGTCATTTAAAATAAAAGAGAACACCACAAATCTGGGTGTGCATATCACAAAATTTTCCAATGACAAATATTCAACAATGTAAAGAGAATTTATGCTTAAGTTTATAGTCATACCATCAAACCTTTGTGTTTTCAATTTCCTTAAGCAAAATTTGAGCTATAAAACATCTTGAACTCTCTCTATAAGAAAATATGCTCTCTATCCAACACAAACCTTATTGAAATATCTGAAAAGAACAGCTCTGATCTCAACAGGATTCAGGCAAATTAGTTTTTCCAAGACATTTGCTTCACTATGAGAAAGGTGTTGAAACGAAGCTCTAAGTGAGTTCTGCCGACTCTGGATACTTTCATTCTTATATTCAATCGCAGCTTCCAAAGCTTCAATTCCTTCTTCAAGTTGGAAAAGATTATGTTCTTCCTAGATATAATACAATAGAAATCACTCATAGCTTAGATTCTCATACGCAGATCTCATTAGTGCTATTTAAGTTTAATGGACATTACCTTTCTCTTCCCTACTCATCTTAACATGTTTATTCACAAATGCATCGGGTGTGAATGTGTTTGTGTATAGCAAAGAGGGATCCTTACAGTATAATGGAAGCATAATGGAAGAAACCAAATCCGTGATGGATTATGAAATGCACCAAAGTCACATAGCAAATGCTGAACACACCTTATTCCAGGACTACTACCAAAACAGTTTTAACTCATGTTTAGCAACCTTGTCATATATCTCCTTTATATACCTCCTAAGTTCATATTTTATGTTAGTATTTCCATTAGTGATATGTAGAGATGATCCCCACAACCCTATCTCTAGTGTTGAGGACACCTACCAACTAGAAGAGAAAGACTAGATTAAGAAAAGAGATTAAAACTAGTAATCAGAAGAGAGGCTCTGGGGAGGAAACACTAGTGTGGCATAATTTTTAAAAGTGAGTAGTGATGGACATGGTTTCTTTGAAATGTTATTATAGGAAAATATACACATTCAAAATAGTGGAAGCCTAACTTATTTTTTTATATACCTGAAGAGATTTCCTTAGTGGTAAGAAAAATCTGAGAAATCTCTGTCATAGAAAAGCTAGTACATTTTCATTTATCTAAATAACATAGTATTGGGAGAAATCTAAATAACTAGTAAGAAGTTATGTATGCCCAACTTGGTCACATAACTTCAAAGTTAAAATGTTTCTGTATATCTATATAAAAAAATTTTGAGGCCACCTAGATTTTTAAGTTCCTTGAGGAACTTAACCATTATTCATTACCTTTTTGCTTAGCAAAGTACATATAACAGCGTTTGAACTCAGTAAATGTCTGTTGAATAAATTAATGGAGAAGAATATTTGTATATATAAAAAAAGAATATTTGTATATATGCTTAATTACATGATCCAACTATTTTTCTTCACTCATACACCCAACAAACCAAAGGAAAATAATGTTAATATTTTTGATCCACCTAAAAAATTGATGGACTTCTAGAGCTCTTTTTCTGGACATTCAAGGAAAAGGTATGTGGGAGCTTCAATAAATACTTATTTTAAAAGGCACATTATAAAAGCTCCTCAAAAAGCCATTTAATAATTTTTTAAAAGTTCAACAGTTATTCCATTTCTCTGTGCAATCATTTAACCATTAAGATGTTGATGACTTGATACTCTGCAAAGAAAAAAAATCCTGAAAAGTTCTCAGGTGAATGAATAAGAGGAACCACAAAATCAGAAGGAATTCTAAAATATTTGTGTACATTGTGATCATGGTTTGGAAATGGTGTGGGGTTTTATACACTGCTGAGAAGAATTTAGTATTAACTTACTTCCTATAGGGACCTAAATTAAGCAAGTACCGAGGAATTTATTATAAGTTACCGTGACATTGAGTCCTGGCCATAGTCCATTCCATTAAGGCTACAGCATAAAGTGTTTGTGATTCTCTCTATCCAGCAATAAAAGTGTAGGCTGACAGAAAGAAGTGTTGAGTGGCCATGTGGAGCACTCAAAGGATGAGAAATTTGCCACAGCACAAACCGAGAGCTGGTTATAAGAGCTGGTTATGTGGCCTTTACTACAGAGCATTGCTTTTCAATACTAATGTGTACTGATGATCTTGTTCAAATCTAATTTCTGATTCAGCAGGTCTGGGTAAGGCTTGAGACTACAATTCTCACAAGCAGCCAGGTGATTCGCACAATGCCATTGCTGCTGGACCAAAGGACCATGCTGTGAGTAACAAGGAACGAAAACAGTGAGTGCAAACTTTTGGACCAGACATCCTTATGACTAAAAAACAAACCGTTTTTGAAAAGTATTCGATTTATATGTATATAGTCCTCTTTCTTTATAAATTTTATATATACTCTCATAAAACAATTCAAATGTTAAAAGATGGACTAAATATGAATAAATATGAGTTCTTATATTTTCATTTTGTAACCCACTGCTCTGTATTACTAGAAAAACAGAGTTCAAGTCTCTCTTAAATCTTAGTTTCTAGATCTTAGAGAAAAGGAGAGGATTTGCCTATGGTAAATTATTGTTCAGAAAACTAGAAAAATGGTCTGAAATCTTGTATATGCCTCATAAGGTAATGCAATTTGGAAACTATTAACTTATTTTAGAAAGAAATTAATTCAAAGCAAGTTTAAAGAAATCAAAACAGCCAAATGTTCCTGTTAGATTGATGTCACCTTAGAATCTCATGTTCCTAATTATCTATTATTGGCAGATATTTATTACTATTGAGGAATAGTAATATTGGCTTTCCGCTACTTGTTCGTCAGTACTGTGGTGTCTTGCATATTGCTAGGACACAAATGTCATCCTGGTCACCCAAGAGTGGGCAGGTTTTCACAGAGCACCGAGATTAAGGCAGATGAGGAAGCAGGATCGGCCATGTACATAAAATTGAAAAAAATTGGGGGATGGGGGCTGGAAAAAAAAAGAAAAAAGCCGGCCGGAGAAAACATCATGGATAGCAGTAAAACACTGTCTGATATGATACCATAAGATGAGCCCCTCAGGTAGGAAGGCATTCAAAATATGACTGGGAAAGAGCCGGCCTTAATGTCATGGAGGGAGTAACACTTACAGGGTCTTCATCTGCTTATTTGGCAGAACTCATAATGAACACAGACAGTTGCAAATGTCCACCAATAATCAGCACATGGATGTACATGGCATGAATCAAGGAAAAATTAAAATTCAGCAAACATTAAGAACACCTAAAATCAATATCCTAAGCATTAGTGAACTGACATATTTTGGCCATTTTGAATCAGATGATCATATGGTCTACTCTGTCAGGAATGACAAAATGAAGAGAAATGGTGTCATGTTCATCATCATAAAGAACATTTCAGATCTATATTGAAGCATAGCTGCCTGTAACACACTAATATCCATACACCTACAAGAAAGACCAGTTAATACAGCTGTTATTCAAATTTACCATTAATCATTAATGCCAAAGATGAAAAAATTAAGGATTTTTACCAACTTCCACAATCTGAAATTGATCAAACATGATCAATGCTCTAGAAATTACTAGTGCTTGAATTGTAAAAGCTGAAACAAAGAACTAATAGTTGGAAAATATGGCCTTGGTGATAGCTGAATCTCTTGGTGAGTCCAGAGATCACATGATAAAATGGGGCGAGTCCAGTAACTCACTCATTTCAAAGATTTTTTTCAACAACATAAGTGATGATTAAACATATGAACCTTGCTAGATGGAATACAAAGGAATCAAATTTTCTATGTCTATGAAAAGAAATAATAGAGATCCTCAGTTATCATCAGAACAAGGCCAGGAGTCCACTGCAGACAGACCATCAGTTGCAAGTTCAAGGTAAACCCAAAGAGAAGTTCAAGAGAGCCAAAGTAAAACCTAGAGTATCTTCTGCTTGAATTTAGAGAGCATCTCAAGAATAGGTTTGACACATTGAACACTAATGAAAGAAGACCCGATGAGCTGTGAGATGACGTCAAGGACATCGTACGTGAACAAAGCAGTCATCTTTTAAAGACAAAAACTAAAAATATCTGAGGACACAATATCTAAAACAAATTGAAGAAATGATGAAGTACAAGAGCTAAACAAGTAGAACTAAACAAAGGGACGTTTGAGAAGACCAAGTAAAGATTTTAATGAAATGTGCAAAAGCCTGAAATTACCAAGTCAAATGGGGAAAAGATGTTTGGCATTTCTCAAGCTGGAAAAGAAAAGAAAAAGAAACAAGAGAAAATTGAAGTTTCAAGTTGCACTATTGAAGAATTGTATGGCAAAATATTGCATGATGCAAGAAGAGTCAAAAGAAGATGGGAAGAATACAGAGTCACTATATAAAAATGAATTCGTTGACATTCAGACATTTCAAGAGATGGTATGATCAAGCATCAATGGTATTGAAGAAGGCCAAACTGCACAGAAGGGACTGGCAAAAACAAGGCTCCAGGAATTGAAAGAATACCTTTTGAGATGTTCCAACATATGCCACACCGAAGTGGACTCGTCTATACCAAGAAATTTGAAAGAGAGGTACCTGACAATCTGAAGAGATCCCTATATAGGCTCATTCCAAAGAAAAGTGATCCAGCAGAATGAGGAAATTATCAATCAGTTTCATGACACACAAGTAAAATTTTGCTGACGATCATTCAAAATGATAGTTCAATACATCAACAGGGAACTGCCAATAATTCAAGCCAGATTCAGAAAAGGATATGGAATGAGAAATATCACTGCTGAGGCCATTTGGTGTCAGCATTGACTTGATGGCAGTGAGTTTTTTGGATGTCAGTTTTTTTGGTGTCAGATGGATCTTGGCTGAAAGCAAAGAATACTAGTAAGATGTTTGCCTATGTTTGTTGACTATGCAAAGAAATTCAACTGTGTGGATCATACAACTGATGGATAACATCGAGACTGAGAATTCCAGAACAGTTCAATTGTGCTCATTAAGAACCTTTACAAAGACCAAGAGGAAGCTGTTTGAATAGAATGAAGGGAAACAATGGTTTAAAATCAGTAAGGTTGTGTCCTTTCATCACATTTACTCAGCATATAATCTACTGAGCATATAATCCAAGCTGGACGATGTGAAAAAGAACTCAGCAACAGGATTGGAAGAAGACTCAATAACCACCCGCAGCGGTAAACAGATGACACAACCTTGCTTGCCAAGAGTGAAGAGGAATCGAAGCACTTACTAATAAAGATTAAAGAGTACAGTATGGATTGTAACTTAACATTTAAAAAAATTTCCTCACAACTGTGCCGATATGCAGCATCATGATAAATGGAGAAAGATTGAAGTTGTCAAGGATTTAATTTCACTTGGATCCACTTGTCCATGGAAGCAGCAGTTAAAATATCAAACACTGGATTGCAATGAGCAGATGTGCTGCAAAAACCTCTTTACAATGCTAAAAAAGCCAAGGTGTCACTTTGAGGACAGAGCTGTGCCTCATATACATGCAAAATCTAGACAATAAGAAACATCAGTGGGGGGAGGGAGGGGAAAAAGAGGAGCTGATACCAAGGGCTCAAGTAAAAAAAATGTTTTGGAAATGTTGAGGGCAACATATGAACAAGTGTGCATAATACAATTGAATGATGGTTCGTTATTATATTTGTAAGAGCCCAATAAAATAATTTTAAAATGAAAAGAAATGAAACAGCAAAAAAGAGTTGGTGCTGCTCTTTTGTCTCGGCTGCAAAAATGCCTTCCAGACCTAGGAAGACCCGGAAAGTTAAGGGTCACATGAGCCATGGCCAGGCCTCATCTGTAAGCACCGGAAGCACAGGGAGGTTCGAGAACTGTTGATGTCATGCCCCACAGGATCAACTTCAACAAATCCCATCCAAGCTACTTTGGAAAAGTCAGTACGAGGCATTACCACCTGAAAAGGAACCAAGCTTCTGCCCAACTATCAACCCTGACAAATGATGGACCTCGGTCAGTGAGCAGACAAGGGTAGATGCTGCCCAAAAGAAGACTGGAGCTGCTCTCATGGATGTGGTGTGGCTGGGCTGGGGAAGGGAAAACTCCCGAAGCAACCTGTCATTGTGAAGGCCGAATTCTTTAGCAGAAGAGCTGAGGAGATGATTAAGGGGAGGGGTGGGGTGGGGTAGAGGGTGGGGAGTACTTTGTCCAGGTGGCTTGAAGCTATGTGAAGGAAAAAAAAAAAGACTTTCCCCTTTTTAAAAAAAAGAGAATTGATGCCTTTGAATCATGGTGTTGGGCATACCATGAACTGTTAAAAGAATGAATAAATCTGCCTTAGAAGAAGAAATACTGTCAGACTGTTCCTTAGAAGTGAAGATGACACTTTTCTTTTGTGTATTCTGGCCATGTCCAGATGGAGCAGTGTCTGGGGAGGGGCAGCCAGCTTGGTGTAGCAGAGCTCCAGCAAAATGAAGTCCCTGAACAAGATGTATATTGGCTGCAACAATGAGTCAAACATAGCAATGACTGTGAGGACTGTACAGGACCACTAGTGTTTGGTTCTGGTGCATAAAGGGTCACTATGATTCAGAATCTCACTTGATGGCAATCATTTTGACTTTAAAAAATAACAATAACATTAGCTTTTAAAAATGAACCCAGTTCAGAGTTACACTACAAGGAACAAACTTTATGAAAGGCGAATAGGACCTCAAATTGACTCAATGAAAATCAATCCTGAGTGGCTGCAAAATTAACATTTTTAGTTATAGAAGCCCATATGAAATAGAAACAAATGTTCTTTGATGATAATAGACCTTCTAGCACATCTGTAAACATAATTTTCTCATTAAACAGTATTCCATCTAAAATGAGGGTTTTTTCCTTGTATCTGCCAAAACATACCATGTTTTTCATAATCATGTTCAAGACTTCAATCTACTGGGGCTTCCTTGATGACTATTACCCCCAAGTGATGACTGAATTGCTTTCTAGTAATATTGTAATAATATAATAAAATTAATAAATATGGTAATTAATAAATAATGTAATAATTTTATTACATTATATAAACTTGCTGCTTTATGGTTTTCAGTGTTTCGGGTTTTCTTACATTTCTGTCTCTTCTTCTCAGATTATGATTTCTCAAGAAAGCATAATGCTTTTGACTTTTTGTTTCTTTCATTGGGCAAACTTGTAGCTTCAATTTAATAACCTCTAGAGGACAGCCTAATTCTCTGTGCCCCTGCACAGCTACACAAGTTAAGTTATAGAACAGGGCAGTCAGGCTCTTATCTTGGTCCCTCAGCTGCCACTTAGTCCCCAGTCAAGTTAGTCTTCTTCAATGCCTTTCCAACTCATTCAGAAGAATCTCATTTCAGGCTATCCTTTCGTCTGCTCCTTAACCAGCCCACTTGCTCTGGTCTAAAACACAAGATTCAGTAGTATGTAAGATATTCCCCTTCCCCTTTCTAATGATATTGACAGAACATAAACAACAAATAGTTGCAGAGAAAGTGCAACCCAAAAAGTTTATCTTTGTAAAAAATGTTTTTTAATTTTTTTAAACTTCAAGAACTTTATAGAGTAAGCTTTAGTTACCACTGGCAAATGAATGGGAAAAAATTTGAAAGGCAAAGTCTGAGGCAATTCAATAGCCAATAAACAAATCATCTTTCACAGAGTTGCTTTGCTTTCTTTTAAAGAGGAGAGAAGTTTCATATGCTCCTAAATGAAAGATATTTACAACTGACCAAACCAAACTCAGTGCCATTGAGTCAATGCCGACTCACTGCAACCTTATAGGTTGGGGTAGCACTGCCCCTGTGTGTTACTAAGACCATAACTGTTTACGGTAGTAGAAAGCCCCGTCATTCTCCAGGGGCTAGTGGTTTTGAACTGAGGACCTTGTGGGTCACAGGCCAACTGGTAACCACAAAGCCACTAACACTCCTATCTTTACAATGAAAAGGCATTTTGTTGGGGTTTGAAGTTTGTATTGGCTGGACACAATGCTTGTGAACACTGAGCCTTTCTCAATCAATGAAAGAATGAACCCTTGATGGCCTAGGCATCTATAGTACACGATGAATTACCTGTTATGAGTCTATGAATTGGAACCAACTCAATGGCACTTAACAACCAGCACTACCTTTGATCATTTAAGAAGGATGCAAACAGAGAAGTGTGGTGTCATTCTGAGAAGAATTGAGAAAGTAGTGTATCCAGTCATTTTCTGTGTTCTAGGATTTCAGATGAAAAACCTTCAAGGAGAGTGGGAGTCCCTCAAGCCCTAGCAGTGACAGAAAGGGACCATGCCAACAGACATAACATGTGAGGACATCCTTCAGACATGTTTTATTGGCACCAAACAGGTATTGAGAACTCATTAATGTTGAAGAAGTATCAGTGAAACTAAGGTTACCGGATCACTTTTATGTTTATGTGACAACACCCAAGGAAATCATCCAAACAATCCGTCATACAGCACTTCCAGTTCCAAAGAATAGTGACTTACTTCAGGTGACAACACTCTACCATGTTTAAGTTTCTCATCCACGCTACTTTTTTGTCTCTGTAACTGGTCCTTTTCCTTCTGCAGTGCTTGCACTTGTGCAGAAAGCTCCGTTTTCTCTTCAGTTGTGCTACTCCGGAGTTGCACACTTTTTTCAGATAACTCTTGGTCCAACAAGTTCAGGCGAGTTGTTATTTTCAAACTGTCTGTGGTTAAGGCCTAAAAAAGACAAACCAATTAAACACCCAAAAAAAGTTAATAGGAAACCAGAAAACACATAAATTAGGGGGAACATCAAAGAAATGAAGATATGTTTAACTTCTACATTATTTTTTCTCCCATGAAAATTTTATGGGGCGTTCATTTTCTAAAATCTGAATTTGAATGTAATTTCCTAAATAATGTTGGTGTAACATAGGTTTCAAGATAGTATTTTTTTTCCCATAATTTATCATTTGAACTTTAAACTTCCCTAACAAGTTGAAATTTGGGCTATTGCCTCAACATATAATTTCTTTCTTTTTTCACTAGATTTCCTGAGATTTTCACTATTTTTCAATTTAAGATCATTTAAAAAAATTTTTTTGGTCAAAGTAATTATATGTGTATGATATGAAAATTTTTCTAATTAAAACAACAGTCTCAAATGATTTTTAAAAAAGAAAATACAAAAAGTCTCCTACCCCACACTTTCACCCAAGTGTATTTTCCCAGAAACAACTTTAGTTATGTTTCTAAATAATATCAGTTTTAGATATTGTCCTATTGTTTATTATGGAAGAATTAACACTTTTTTAAGAATTAACACTTTCATACCTCTTTTCTATTTTCCCCTTCCATTTTCCCAATATATGACATCTTTTCATTAATACTCAGTTACATTATTATGGTTACATAAATTTTATCCATAGTTTTCCAATAAACTATAAAATTCTTCTCAACATTCTTTTTTCACTTAAGCAAACTCAGCAGGAAACTCTTTTTATTCCTTCTCTTATGTGTTGCTGTGCTGTTCTGGACTCAACTAGTTGTCCTGGGACAGCTCTGATATTATCCTGGAAATTTCTATGCTGAATCACATTTTCAGGACCCTGAGTCTTCCTTTTCCATGGTTTATGACCTAATTTCTGTGGAGTGCAGTCTGATAAAAGCAAGAAATCTTTTTTGTAAGTTTGTTTTGAAAACTTACTTATTCTACTCACATTTGCTTGGGAGTTAGCTAAGAAAACAAGTCTTGATTGTTGCTAGATGCCATCGAGTTGGCTCTACCCCATAGCTACCCTGTGCACAACAGAATGAAACACTACACTGTGCTACGCCATCCACACGATTGTTCCTAGGCCAGAGCTCACTGATGCAGCCTCGGTGTCAACCCATCTCCGCGAGGGCCTTCCTTTTTTTGGACACCGTCCACCTTACCAAACATGATGTCCTTCTTCAGGGACTAGTCTCTCCTGACAATATGCCCAAAGTATGTAAGATGATGTCTTGCTACCCTTGCCTCTAAGAAGGACTCTGGCCTTTCTTCTTCCAATACAGACCTGGTTGTCCTTTTAGCACTTCCTGGTACTCTCAATATTCTTCTCCAGCACTGCAATTCAAATGCATTTATTCTTCTACGGTCTTTCTTACTCAATGTCCAACTTCCACATGAACATGATGCATTGGAGAATAACATGGCTTGGGTCAGGTCCCCCTTAGTTCTCAAAATAATATCCTTGTTCTTCAATACCCTAAAGAGGTCTTGTGCAGATTTACCTAATGAAATGTCTTTTGATCTCAACTGCTGCTTTGATGAGCATTGATTGTAGATGCAAGTATGAAAAAATCCTTGACTTGAGAAACGATGTACAAATGCGCTTTACACAATTGATGTGTGTATGGATTGGGATAACAGTTGTATGAGCCCCTAATAAAATGTTAAAAAAAAAAAAAAGAGTGTAGGGGTGGAGTCTAGGCTGTCAATATGGAGATAGCCAATGAGACTTCTCTGTGGGCATGGCCTTCTCCTGAGAATTTGGGGAAACCTGGTACTTCCTCCTGGGAGGCAGGAGACACCTCTCTCTGCTTACTTCCCTGGGAGACATTGCAGCTGACAAGACCTCTGAAGCTGGAGAAACCACGTAGAGACCCCTGCCAGCACTGAGATGCTTACAACACCACTGGATCCAAAGACTTTCTACCCAATGGCCTGTGATTGTCCTGCATTCGGCATCGTTGTATGTCTTTTGTGAGTCTGAAGAGGACTTTATGGATTGCTGTCAGACATAAGGCCTAATGTCAGACTTATGGACTTGATCTGGACTGGGCCGGGATGTTTTCTCAATGTTCAATTGTTCTTGTATATAAATCTCTTTCTTATACACATATGTGTGTCCATGGGTTTGTTTCTCTAGTCTACCCAGACTAACAGGTATTAACCTTGCCACTCCATGCCATGGAGTAACCTCTTTCCTGGGAGTGATAGGCTTCTCTATACTTACAGGGACAGCATTTGCAGTGCCTTTAGGCCTAATTAGTCCTGAAAAACAATTTGGAAAACTCATCTCTATGATTTTGTTTCTCTAGAACCACTTGCAGTACCCAATGTGTTGGTGGGGTTTCTCTGGAGAAAAAAGCCAGTGACACTTGTGTATGTTGTATATAGAAAGAGAATTACATCAAGAAAATGACTTACACAGTTGTAGGAATTGATAAATACAGTCTAGCTCAAGTCATCCTTCTCCTAATGTGTGGAAGCTGATGAACAGAAAGCAACAGGAGATTGAAGATCCAGACTAGGATGAAGAAGCAGAGACAGCAGGGGGCACGGGCTAGTGGATGCAGAGGTCCAGTCAACTGAACGAGTCCACAGGTGTTAGTCTGCATATGGCTCCTGGATCAACATGCAATGCAACAGGAAATGAAGGAGCCAGATGCAAGATCCATCTCTGGCAGAAAGTGAAGAGCCATGGAAGATTTGTCTCCTTTCCCTCTTATGCAAAAGGCTACGACATCAAGAAGGTGGTAACAATTGTACAATATTACTTTATGTGATTGAACTATGGAATGTTATATCTGTAAGAGCTCCAAATAAAATGATTTAGATGAAATAAAAAAAAAGAAAAAATCCTTGACAACTTCAACGTTTTCTCCATTTGGCAGGATGTTACCCTACTTTTCCAGTTATGAAGATTTTAGTCTTCCTTACATTGAGTTATAATTCATACTGAAGGCTACAATCCTTGATCTTGATCAGCAAGTGCTTCAATTGTGCCATCTGCACACATCCCTCATTCCATGTCCTCTTTTAAATCTGACATGAACTTGTCAGTTCCCTGTCACTGTGCTGTTGCAACTGTTGTTGGATGATTATAAGTAAAATTATCCTTTTGTGTGATGTCAATGATATCCTTCTCTAGTTTGAGCTTTCTGTTAAGTCATTTTTCTTTGGAATGGGCATAAATAAGGAGCTTTTCCAGTCAGTGGGCCACATAGCTGTTTCCAAATTTCCTGGCATAGAAGAGTGAGTACTTTCTTTGCTTCTTCAGCTTTCGAAACATCTTAATGGGTATCACATCAATTCCTGGAACTTTGGTTTTTTGCTAATACATTCAATGCTATTTGAACTTCTTCCTTCCGCACCATTGGTTCTTGCTCATATGCTACCTCCTGAAATGGAGGAATGGCAATTCTTTCTGGTGCAGTGTCTCTTTGTAGCCTTTCCATCTTCCTGCATTATTCAATATTTTGCCTATAGAATCTTTCAAAATTGTGATTTGAAGCTTAGGTTTTTCTTGAGTTCTTTCCAGTTCAGATACCCTGAGCATGTTATTCCCTTTGGACTTTCTAATTCTAGGTCCTTGCACATTTCATGATATTTTACTTTGTCTCCTCAATCAGCCCTTTGAAAATTTCTATTCAGCTCCTTTACTTCACCCTTTCTTACATTTGCTTTAGCTACTCTACAATTAAGAGCAAGTTTCAGAGTCTCTTCTGACATCCACTTTGTTGTTTATTTTTTTAAATCATTGTGGGCTCATACAACTCATCACAATCCATACATACAGCCATTGTGTCAAGCACATTTGTACATTTGTTGCCATCATCATTCTCAAAACATTTGCTTTCTGCTTGAGACCTTGGTATCAGCTCATTTTTCCCTCCCTCCCCGCTCCCTCCTCCTACATGAACTCTTGATAATTTATAAATTATTTTGTCATGTCTTACTCACTCCCTTCACCTACCTTTCTCTTGTCCATCCCCTAGGGAGGAGGTTATATGTAGATCCTTGTAATCAGTTCCCCCTTTCCACCCCACCCTCCTGGTATTGCCTGGTATTGTCCTGGATTCCCTGTGTTTCCAGTTTCTATCTGTACCAGTGTACATGCTCTGGTCTAGCCGGATTTGTAAGGCGGAATTGGGATCTTGATAGTGGGGGGAGGGGATGGGGGTTGGAAGCATTTCAGAACTAGAGGAAAGTTGTATGTTTCATCATTGCTACACTGCACCCTGACTGGCTCCTCTCCTCCCTGCGACCCTTCTGTAAGGGGACTGACATCCACTTGGAACTTTTGTTTCCTCTTTTTAATGACCGTTTGCTTTCTTCACAAATGATGTTCTTGGTGTCCTCCCACAACTCATCAGGTCTTCTGTCATTAATGCATCAAATCTGTTCTTGAGATGTTCTCAAAATTCAGGTGAAACAGACTCAAGTCGTATTTTGGTTCCTGTGAACCTATTTTCATTTTCTTCAGCTTTATCCTGAAGTTACATGTGAGCAGTTGGTCTGTTTCCAAATCGGCCTCTGGTTTGGTTTTAGCTGCCGATATTCAGCTTCTCCATAATGTTTTCCTACAGATGTAGTCCGTTTGATTTTTGTGTATTCTAGGAAAGAATTTGTATAGTCATCTTTTATGTTGTTCAAAAATAGTATTTGCTATGAAGAAGTCATGGTTTTTCAAAATTAAATCATATGATCTCCAGCTTCATTTCTATCACCAAGTCCATATTTTCCAACTACTGTTCCTTGTTTGTTTCCAATTTTTGCATTCCAATCACCACTATCAAAGCATCTTGATTGCTTGTTTGGTCAATTTCCAACTGAAGTCTGTAGAATCCTTCGATTTCTTCATCACTGGCTTTTGTGGTTGGTGCATAAAATTGAATAATACTTGTATTGATTGGATTTCCTTGAAGGCTAATAGATATGATTCAATCACAGGTAGCATTGTACTTCATGATGGATTTAGTAAATTCCTTTCTGACAATGAATGTCATGCCATTTCTCTTGATTGTGTTATTCCCAGAACAGTAAATCATATGATTTTCTGATTCAGAATGGCCAGTACCAGTCCACTTCAGCTTACGAATACCTAGGATATCAATTTTCACGTGATCCATTTCATTTTCATCACTTCCAATTTTACTAAATTCATATTTTGCACATTCCAAGTTCGAATCATTAGAAGATTTTTGCAGCTGTTTCTCTTTACCATGTGGTGCCCCAGTGGCAAATGGAAATCCTGAAGGCTCCACTTCCACAGGCTGTGTCCAACTCATGTCACCAGGGTCGACTCCTCTTCAAGAAATCAGCTCCTCATCAGTCATAATTCGAGTGCCCTTGAATCTGAGTGGCCCACTGTATCTCCATCAATGTTCTACTTCCTTTGTTTAAACTTTCAGTACTTGAAAATGCTTCCAAGCTATGCTCATATTTTCCTTGGCTTCTTTCTCTGAAGTGGGGAGCCAAGTCCTTCTTTGTTATCTGTTCTTGTCTGGAAGCTCCGCTGAAACGTGTTCACTTTGGGTGACCCCAACATCACAGCAACACACAAGCCATCACATTAAGGCAACTGACAGACAAGTGGTAGAATTCTTGATTAGAAGTCATTTGTTCATGTGTTTGAAGACTACCCCAGGTCTTTTAACTTCTAATGAAGATAGGTGAGAAGTCCAATGTCGTCCTGATCATTGAGACTTATAAAGCTCTGTTCTATCTAGAAGCTTTCAGGATCTCCTTTTCCTCAGTGTCCTCAAACTTATAGTGCTAAGAGTATGGTGCGAGTTGTGTAAATCTTTACAATAGCAGAAAGCTTCATCTTTCTCCTGTGGAGTGGCAGTTGGGTTTGAACCACCAACCTTGAGATTAGCAGCCCAATACTTAACTAAAAGCACCACCAAGAATCCAGGCAAGGATTCTTACATAGACTCACTTATTCCCTGTTTGGAGAATTTTGGTTTATCCCTATCTCTGCTGTGCCTGGTTAAGTTATTGAGAAAACCAACTTGTTCTATAATGAGAAAAGGTAGTTTACTAACTATTCTTGTTTCATCCTCCTCGTCTTCTGAAAACCTTGTTCCCTTCACTTCTGAGTTTCCATGATGTTATGTGGATTATATAACACTTAATTTTTACATCAATAAGTCCTTTTATTTGGGACTCTTACAACTTTTATAACAATCCACACATCAGCTGTATCAAACACATTAGTATCTATGCTGTCGTTATAATTTTCTTTCTGCTCGAGCTCTTGGTATAAGTTCCTCTTTTTTTCCTCCCTTCTGGATTCCTAATTATAAATTACTATTATATTTTCATATCTTATATGCTCTGCTGTCTCCCTTCACCCTTGTTTCTATTGTTCAACCCCCCCAGGAGGTGGGTTATTCATCAATCATTAGTTCTCCATTTCTCCCCCTTTCTCCCCTACATTCCCCGTACCCTCATGCTATCACTACTCCTATTACTGTTGGGGGGTGGGGGGGGCGGTTATCTCTCCTGGAATCCATGTACCGAGAGCTCTTATCTGTACCAGTGTACATGCTCTGGTCTAGCCATATTTGTAAGGTAGAACTAGGGTCATGATAGTGGGGGGCAGGAAGCATTAAAGAACTAGAGGAATGTGGTATGTTCTATTGGTGCTATGCTGCACCCTGGCTATCTCATTTGCTTACTATTTTTTTAAAAGACTAATCTTTGACTCATTAGTATTCTTCTGTGGGCCCTTGGATTTTAGCTTATTCTGTTCTGCAAACTCAGTAGACATTCATCTATTTTCTTTCCATCTTAAAATCTATTTTTGTAATCTTTTAACCTCTGTTGCCTCTCTGCTACTGCTGCTTTCCTTTTATAAACTTATAGCTTTTCCTTTTAATAACAGCTTTAGTGAGATATAATTCACGTACAAGTCATATATATATATAAAATACACAATTCAGTGGTTCCTAATATACGCACAGAATTATGCAATAATCACAATCAATTTTAGAACATTTTCATCATCCCAAAAAGAAATCTTGCACCAACTAGCATTAATTTCTCATTGCTCTCACCACCCTGTCCCTAGGCAATCTCTAATCTACTTTATGTGTCTATGGAATTGTCTATTTTGAAAATTATATCTAAAAGGAATCATATAATCCAGCCTTTTGTGACTGGCTTCTTTTATTTAGCTTGTTTTCAAAGTTTGTCTATGTTGTAGAATGCATCAGAACATCATTCCCTTATTGCCAAATAATATTCCATTGTAAGGATGTACCACATTTGATTTATCCATTCATTAGTTGATGGGCATTTTGCACTGTTCCCACTTTGGGGCTATTATGAATAATGTTGCTAACAACATTAGTGTAAAAGTCTTCACGAGAGCATATCTTTTCATCTCTCTTGTGTACATACCTAGGAGAATTGCTGCATCATATAGTAACTATGTTTACTTTTAAAAGAACTGCAAGATAGGTTTTCTAAACAGCTGTACCATTTCATATTCCTACCACCAGTGTAAAATGTTTCCAATTTCTCTATATTCTGACAGTTGTTATTGTCTGTTTTATATTTTATATTTATATTTCATCCTCGTGGGTATGAAATGATAACTCATTGTAGTTTTGATTTGCATTTCCCTAACAACTAATGATGTTGAACAATTTTTCATGGGCTTGCTAGTAATTTATATATCTTCTTTCAAGATCTATTCATATCAGTTGTCCATTTAAAATTTTTTAAATACAAGTCCCTCATCAGATCTACGATTAGCAAACATTTTCTCCCATTCTGTTAGTTGTCTTTTCACTTATTTGGTGACATCCTTTCTATCACAAGAGTTCTTCATTTTGAGGAAGTCCAATTTATCCCTTTTCCTTTTGTTGTTTGTGCCTGTGGTGTATTATCCACAAATTGTTGCTTAACCCGCAGTGCTTAAGATTTGTGCATGTGTTTTAGCTTTTACACTTGTTTGTATCTACTTGTTGAGCTGTATGGTATAAATACAGCTTTCATCTTCCTTTACCATCAATTTTTTTGAAGTTGAAAAGGGAGTATTCATGTTCTTTTTCTGAAATGCAAATGACTATCTTATGAATATTCATCAAACTCTAGAAAGGATAACCTAGCAAGCCTTTTGTTTTTTGTTTTATTTTCATTTTTAAACAATTGTATTGGCACATACCCACCTATTATACAATTCAACAATTTAGTCACATCAAGAAGAGGTATACAATCATTACCACTATCAACTTTGGAACATTTTCTCCTTTCTTGTACTCGTTATTAGCTCCCCATCTCCTGTCAACCTCCCCTGCCATAACCCCAAGAAACTCTTAATCCAGTTCATTAAATCAATTTGGTTTTGATCTACTATAACAGTCCCTACTTAGCGCAATATGTTCTTGCTTCCTAAACTAAAAAAAATGTAAAAATCTATATGATGAAGTGAGTGAGTTCCAGGGGTAGATTTTCTTCTTTATTCCATTTTTCCTTTTAGGGGATGTAAAATATATCATAAAGGTTCCAGGTAGTTTTCTATTGGTTTTGTTTATTTTTTAATTTTTTTCGATGTGAAAGTTTATAGAGCAGATCATCAGTTTTACATTCAACAGTTCAGACACATTTTATCTCATTAAGTGCAATCCTATTAGTGTACCATCGCCCATTGTATCTCTTCCCTTTGTTTTCTGGGTCCATTCCTCTTTTCTTAACCTTCTGTAGTTACTTGTTTCCTATTTACTCATTTGACGTTTCAGTTTGTTGATCTCCTCTCAGCTTTTAACAGTTGCCCCCAGTCTGAGCAAGCTCTCTGGATATAGCAACAGTAATTAACTCAGATAACTTAACTTTTTATTCCGTGGCCTGTTGCTAATAGATATTATTTCTATTTGGATTGAGGAATGGAAGAAAACAGAAATAAGAATAGGAAATGTTTAGAACACATCGCTATCAACTTATATCCCTGTGCTCTAGATGCTGGCCCACAGGTAAATCTGATAGGGGTAGGTCCCTGATCTACACTCTGCTCTGTGACTAAATGCACAGACTGATCCCAGACTTAAAGACTCCTGGCAGCAAACGCTAATTAAGGCTAGGGCAAGGCCTTCTTCTATTTTGGATGTTGATGCAGCTGAAAATCTTGTTAAAAAAAAAAATTAGTAGCTTCTGGTGCTTCTACCCTTCACAATCATTCCTGTTTCAAGACCTGAAATCAAGACACATTTTTTTCATATGATCAAAGTCTTTGACTGGATCCTAAAATTGAAATCTTCCAGCAAACATTTTGTGATGGCCCCCAAACATCTTTATAATTTCAATAAACAAGTTTTCATGACACAAAATCTTTCTTTTATAGGACCCTTGCAAGCCTTTAACTTTGAATATAGTACTGACCAGATAGACACTTTTCAGGTCAATTTTTCCAGATTATCAATGTTAACTCTAAAACATTTAATTTTATGTTACTCATTTAACAAACAAATTGTTGAATCAGTAAATGTTGTTAGATATCTTTTTACTACAATCTAACAAAATGATTGCATTGATTTTCCTGCATGTGAAGCCAGCAATATTATTTCCAGACCCATCTTTTTTGAAATTAAATTTAGCTAAATTTTTCAATTTGCTGAGAACCGAAAGAGAAGAAAATATATAAATCTAACCTGGAAGAACCCTGAACACTTAACTTCAAAATTACAATAAATGTTAGTGATGAAAAAGTGGGTCATTGATTTACATCTTAGAGAGTTTATATGGCTTACCACCATAAACGAGTGTAAGAGTACCTGGCTAGATCTCAACTTCTTGTTTTCCAACAGGCTCTTCTCCTGTAACAGAGCCTCCTTCTTAGACACTATGGCCTCCCGTTTCTTTAAGTCTTCTTCCAGCTCCTCTAATTCTTGGCGCTGGTTCAGCACTTTCTCAACTTCTTCATCTAACCATTTCTTTTTCTCATCAAATTTCTACATAATTCCAAAGAAAAGTAACGACGTTACAATTTGTAAGATAATAAGATTCAGTGTCTTATGCAAAAGGAAAAAAGCAAATTGGCCAAGGCCAGAAAGATCCAGAGCTATGCAGTCTTCCACCCAGACCTAAATAAGCTCCATCCTATCCACTTAATGCAGAAGCCAACAATCCTAGCTCTACAGTATTGAGGAACAGGGAAGCTATCCAAAGGTAACTATAAAAATATATCTGCTTTCTTCTATTCCCTTAAGAACTCAGGGTCCCTATAAAGTCTAGCAATTAATTTAAACATACTCAGGATTCTACAAACATTGCTTGGCTCAGAACTGTGCTGAATAGGGTTGAAAGATAAGACATCTTTTATGAGTTTCATTCTACCTGAGGAGACAGATACAGATTCCAAGTAATTATGATTATTGATAAATGCTGTATTCCACTAACTCCAAGATGCTACGAAAGCAAAGCTGAAGGGACTGAATTGGCTCTGCCTGCAAAATGGGAGAAATATTACTTCCTCAGTGCCAGTGCTATGATGATATTTTAGCTGTGCTTTGAAAAGTTGGATGGGTGTCTACTAATACAAGTTTTAGGGGGAAAATAATAGAGATTTTTTTGCATACTATAATAAAGCTTATCAGTTGTGCAATTCAGTATACCTTAGTAACTATTTTTTTTTAAAAAAAAGGCTCTACCATGCAGTTCCACTTTTAAATATGTTCTTCTATAAAGCAGCTTCAGTATCAAATCAATGTCCCATTATAATATCTCTGGATACTCGTTTAACTTGTAATCTAAACCTTGCAAAGTAAGTTTTTATTTTGCAGCAATTAAAAAAAAAAGGTTTCTGTGTGTGTGTGTGTGTGTGTGTGTGTGTGTGTTTTAAGTTCCAAGACAGCTGATGAAAGGTGCAGAAAACTATTATAATTGCATTCATTTTAAATTTAGGTCCTTAACAGTTTAAACAGTGGGATTTATTAATCTGTGCATTACTGTCTCTCTCAACGAACCATTTCCATCCTAGAAATGTATTACCATGCAGCTTCGAATATCAGAAAGAGATGTGCCAGTAAAATAAGTAAATGGAAATAATCCATGCCTCAAGCTTCACTAGTACAATATCTTCTTCGGGAGAGGGAGTAAATGCGTCATTATTAAGGCAAATGTATCTTCATTTGGATTGCAATTAAAAATCTCAGTTCGATATTTTTCTTGCAATAGATTTTATGATTGCAAATCTGAGCATAAAGTAAAATTTATGATTTCTTTTGAACTTTGAACCTTTTATGGATTATGAATTTTAAAATGTACTCAAATAGTACTCAAATAGTTTCTAAACCATATGTGATACATATATAATTTGGTTATGTCTTAATGAAGAGATATGGTTTCTAGAAATCTACTGGTTTCCATGACAATAAACTAGAAATTTCTACGGGAATAAATACAATCTAGTGAGCACAAGTTCGAGTTCACAATCCATAACAACATTCAAATAGATCCACCTCTCCTATAAACCAGAAATCTACTGGTTTCCATGACAATAAACTAGAAATTTCTACGGGAATAAATACAATCTAGTGAGCACAAGTTCGAGTTCACAATCCATACAACATTCAAATAGATCCACAATAAGATTCAAATAGATCTCCTACAATAAGAATATAGCACATTTCTAGAGAAGAAAATAAATTTTTAGCAAATAACAGCTTCAGAAAGGATTATTAGAAATTTTGTACCCAAGTGGAAAAATCTAGTATTGAAGATTTATTCAAAACCCACCACTTCTTAACTTCTATTTAGACAATCTTTAAAAAAATTAAAGAAACAAGAAAACATATCAAAAAAACACCAAGGAAAGATTAAATAGAATGAACAAACCTGGAGCTGGTCTATATTTCCAAAAGACCCTTTTCTCCTTATCAGATTAAATTCACCAAGGTCCTCAGCTTTCAGTTCTTCCTGTTGTTCTGTTAACTGCAGTTCCTACAGAAGAAAAACATAAAAAGCACCTTATTCCTTTAACGCGTTCCCATCATTAAATATTCAGACAGACAATAAATTTATTTTAAGTGTAATGAGCCCTCTAATCATTTCCTTCAATTGTACTTTTTTAGTTGCAAAACGAGAAAAAATTAGTATATGAATATTGAGGTCCTTTGAAAAGAAAAAAAATATTAGCCCCTCATTGGAAGCTATAAAATCAAATGGCAAAAGTCAGGGGTTAATAACAAAACTAGGGGTGGAGGCAGGGTGGAGTGTAAAGGGGGAACTGATTAGGCATCTACATATAACCTCCACCCTGGGGGATGGACAACAGAAAAGTGGGTGAAGGGAGACATCGGATGTGTAAGATATGTGTAAGGGGGGAAGCGAGGAGGGGGTGGGGAAGATGAGGAGCTGATTCCAGGGGCTTACGTGGAGAGCAAATGTTTTTTGAGAATGACAAGGGTAACCAATGTACAAATGTGCTTTATACAATTGATGTATGTATGGATTTTGATAAGAGTTGTATGAGCCCCAAATAAAAAGATTTTAAAAAATAACAAAACTGGGTATTTTCTTCATTCTTTTTTATTAATACAAGTTACCATAGAAGGGATAAGATTTGAAAACGGTAAATGTTTTTTCTGCCTTTCTGAGCTCAGTACTTAAACAGATCTGCCTTGGGGTTATTATAATTACAGTAAAATGCAAAAAGAAAAGTAATGTTTTGCTTCTGACATTTAAAAATGGGATTTTGCAACTTGAGAGTAGCTCTGAGACAGATCATGGTGCTGTGAAGAGTGTTTCCCAACTCCTCTACATTCTGTCTGTATCTTCAGAGTCGAGTAAAGAAGCCTACTGCTCACAAGCTCCCATGCTCCTGGGGTATAGAGAGGATGCAGTTCTCTGCCATTAAAGCCCACACAAACCAAGAAGGAGGTATGAATCAAAGTGAGTAGGTTCGTGTCCTATTTGTTATCGTTTTGTGAAGTACAGAAATCAAAAGTAAGTGTTTAGAAATTTTTATGGTAAACTGAAAGCTAATTTTTTCTTTTGCTATCATAAAAATTGGGCTCTTATTTGAATATTTTTATTGTTTACATCTTTCTACTAACTTTTTATAGAGTATTTGGCTGTGACAAGTTAGCAACAAAATCAAAATTATACCTTCTCCACAGATAATTTCTGAAACACTAACATAAAGGACTACAATCAACACCCATGGAAGCAGCAGACAACATATTACATTGGGTAGGTCTCCTGCAGAAGACCTCTTTAAAGAGTTAAAAAGAAGTAAAGAAATCCCTTTGAGGACTAAGGGGCACCTAGACTAAACCATGGTATTTTTCAATCTTCATATGCACGCAAACACTGGACAAGGAATAGGAAGACTGAAGAAATGATGCGTTTCAAGTGTGCTTTTGGATATACCACCAACTGCCAGAAGCTAGAATGCTCCTTAGGAGTGAGGGTGAGTCTGTCTCACATATTGTGGACATGTTCTCAGGAGGGACCGGTGAATGGAGGACATCCCGCATAGGAAACCCAAAGGTCAGTGAAAATGAGGAAGGCCCTCAATGAGATGGGTTGACACAATGGCACAGCAGCGATGGTGAAGGCTGGGCAAGACCGGGCAGGGTTTCCTTCTGTGAGTTGGAAGCAATTGACATTTGTTGAGTTGTGGGAACTCCTCAAAACACAAGAACATCAGTACAAAGGATCTAAAAGACAAGCGTATCATTTTCTGTCCCTGGGAATGGTAGGGAGGAGAAAGAAACATTAAGAAATATGTGTTCCAATGTTTTTCTGAGTGTTGGCTCAGAAAATACAGATATCACCATGGGCAGAGGAGGTCCTTGCTCTCACTCCCCATCTGGGAGAAACAATGCAGATCCCACTGTTGAGGCCCAGCCTCACTGCAGGGGAAGAGAAATCCCATCAGAAAAGAGACTAGGTGTCACTCCTCAAACTCTTGTGGGGTGGCTTCTGAGTTGAGAGCCAATGGAGGTTAAAAGCTATTGTGAAGAATTGACTCCACTGAAGATTAGAACAAGCCACTGGGCTCAAGCTAGATAGAAGACCCGGTGGCCTTGAGAGGGTATAGTTATAATGCCTGTGCTCTGACTAAGCTTGAAGCAGGATCAGACGATGAGTTATTTCAGCCATGAGCTTCACTCTCAGGAACAAGGAAGAGCACATCCTAGCTAGTTCCTGAAGGTCAGGAACTCCCTTCTTAACTACTCCAGGAGATGCAATTAAAAATGACACATCTGACCACCACAGACACTGAGTGTATGCCATCTTAGGGAGAGAAAAAGAGCTTCGGAGAAGTTCAGAGACTGAGCATTCCTATTTACGAAACCCCGAGAATCACTTAAAGCAGTGGTTCTCACCCTTCCTAATGCTGCGACCTGTTTATACAGTTCCTCATGTTGTGGTGACCCCCAACCATAACATTATTTTCATTGCTACTTCGTAACTGTAATTTTGCTCATATTATATCTCAGATGACCCCTCAGAGGGGTTGGCCCTCAGAGGGGTTACAGCCCACAGGTTGAAAACTGCTGACTTAAAGGAAATATTAAAATTGTTCAGGAAAGTTCTGACTAGTTTGGACATATGGTTAGTTCCCGTAGATCCAGCCATTATCAGAACATGGGTCAGGAAAGGGGCTCACGATTAACACAACTCTGCTATAGATTAAAGACATTTTCTATGCCCATCTGAGTGAATTTGTACCGCATTATATTTAGTGGTGTTGGTAGTTGCCATTCAGTTGGTTTTGACTCCTCGTAACCCCATATACATTGGGAAACTGCATGGTTTGATCCTGCATCATCTTCATAATCACTGGAATGCTCACATCCATGGTTGTGCCCATTGTGTGATTTGGGTGCTTCCAAAAATAAACAGAAAGGGCTCATCTTCAGCACTGTATCAGACAATATTCTGTCATGAGCCACAGGTTTTCAATGACTAAAATTTGGAAGGCGATCACCAGGCCTTTCTTCCTAGTCTGTCTTGGGGAGTTCTACTGAAACCTGTGCACCATGGTTGATCCTGCTGGTATTTGACATACCAAGTAGCATAGCTTCCACATGATAGCAACAATCAAGCCACCACAGTATGACAAATTGACGGAAAAGTGCTGGGTGTTGTTATTTATTATTAATTGTCCATGCTTCCCTAATTCAAGTTCACTGATAATTTAGCCCTTCATAGTCAAAACCACATCCGGATGCTAGCAGGAAGCTACCTGAAATAACCAGATCCATTGCCATCAATTTGATTCCAACTCTTAACAACCATATGGGACAAAATAGAATTGTCCCATATAGTTTCTAAGGCTGTAGTCTTTATAGTGGCAGACTACATCTTTCTCTCAGAGTGGCTGGTGGATTTGAAACTCTGATTTTCACTTGACAGCTAAGTTTCTAAACCCCTGAAATAAAGGCACTAGATACTTGGAGTTAAAAGGAGTGCTAGTGGTGCAGTGGGGTAAGCACTGGGCTGCAAAGGCAGCACTCAAACCCACCAGCCACTGCAAGGGAGAAAAATGAGGCTGCCTGCTTCCATACAAGGTCAGTCTTGAAAACCCTAAGGAACAGCTCTATTGTGTCTGATAGTGTCACCATGAGTCAGAATTAATGTCATGGCAGTGTGTTTGGTTTGGGATCTGGTTTACACGTATACTTGAAGCTGACTATTATTCCTACTTCTACCTATATTTGAAACAGTATACTGCAATGGGAAGTTGAATTTCCTCTTCCACTTGTTGGTCCATAATGCCTTTTTTTTCATATTATAATAACTATTACAAAATGGCTATGTAACAAGCATGCTGCAAAGCATTTCACATCTACTTATGTATTCCTTTTAATCTTCACAATAATCCCACGAAGTAGGAGTATAAGAAAACTGACCCCAAGGTCACTAATAATTTCAAAGGATATCACACCTGTTCTTCAAATTCCATCTATAGACGTCAGTTAAAAACAACTGTTCTAAGAACCTACGGAAACTCCTTGGTATTCTTTGGAAATAGTTTAGACAACTAGAAAACAGATGAACAGGCGTATCAGAAAGGTGGCCCCAAACAGAAGGTGGGGATGTCCTTTAAGACCATGATCAGGCTTTGTTTTTGCAGGAAGCAGAAGCTTCAGTACACCTTTGGGTATGAAGTTTTGGGGATACTAAATCTTGTTGCTAAGTGTGTCGAGTTGGTTACGACTCACAACCACCTTATGCACAACAGATAACGCTGCCAGTCCCGTGCTATCTGCTCACAGTCGTTGCTATGTTTGAGTCCATTGTTGTAGCCCCTGTGTCAGTCCATCACATTGGGGTCTTCCTCTCTCTCACTGACCGTCTAACTTTACCAAATACGATGTCCTTTTCCATGCATTGATCCCTGATTTAAAGGAATCGTAGAATTAAGGAAGGTGTGGCTAGAAGGAACAAAATTGTCCTACATAAGAATAGAAAAGGTTTAAAGGTTTAAGGAACAAGCAGAAAGGCATTTTAGCAGACTATGCACCCTTAAAATAAGATATGTTGTTCTTTTCCCTAAATATAGAGTTAAAGAATATTGTGTCTTCCTGGTTTAAACTGTGTCCCCTGAGAGAGCAGGAACTGAGATCAGTCAGGCCTGAGCTTTACATGGTAAAACGGTTTGTACTACCAGAGTAGGTTTAGTGGAAATAAGAATTGGACAGATTCAAGCTATTAAGAAGATATACTCTGTATGATTTAATGGATCATTGGATACGAAGGATGAGGAAGAAGAATAAAAAACAATTTCTAGGTTTTGAGTTACCTAACTGTAAGGCTCCCTGGAGATAAGTCAGGAAGTAACCTCGTAAAGATGTAGATGGTTGCATACATTAATCTGGAGTTCGCATGACCACTGTGTGATGAGGGATTAAATGTGTGGGTTGTCAGTTAACAGCAGCCATGGAAAAAGGTGAGGTGGCCTGGAAAAGATAGGAGCCTCAACGAACTCCTGCAGAAACCCAAGACTGGATGAACTCCCACCTTCAAAGGATGGCCAGAGTAGAATTAGATAGCACTAAAGCAAGAGAGAAAGACGAGGCAAGTGTGCTGTCACAAAGACAAAGGGGGGAATATTTTCGAGATGGAAGGAGTGGAAACAGTGCCGATAGAGCTTAGGTGTGAGGTAAAACAAGGACTTTAGCGACAAGAGAGCACAAAGGCACTTCCCAAGAGCATTGAAGCACAGGTGGTAGAGCATGGAAGTAGGTGGTACTGAAAGAAGCCAGATAGAAAGTTTAAAAGAATGACTAGAGATAGAGGAAATAAAAGCACATGGAACAGCCACTTTCCCCAAGAAGTTTGATTATGAAGGGGAAGAGAGAGGGGCAGGAGCTGGGGAGTAGGGTAGTAGCAGAAGGGACAGATAAAATTAGAGGGGATAATCAGAGTGAGAAAAATATACAATGTTTAAAGAAAGAATGCATTAGAAAAGGAAGTTGAAGGGGAATGCTCTAAGATGTGTTGCTGATTGTACAAGTCCCATTGATATTATTGAGCAATTAAACTAGTCAATTGTATGATATATAAATTAAGTGCCCATTAAACTGTTGAGGCGGGGGGAAGGGAAAAAGTTGAAAATATAGGACTGAGTTAAGACATTTAAGTGCTTTAATAAATGTGAACTATTAATAGTAATTATTCCATTATCATAAATAAATTCCAGGCTTTTGGTAAAGATGTGAGAACAGGTTGTCTTCCAGTATAAAAGTTTAGGAAACCTCCACACACCTTGGGTTTAGCTTAACATGTCAATAGAACAGAGTCTGGCCCATAGTACATATTAGAAAAATGTTTGCTATTGTTATTCTTATTGCATCATCTTCACCGTTAGGCCAAGTATGATTTAGGACATTCAGATTTTAATAAACGGACTGGTAAAAGGACCCCTGAAATTATTTCCCTGAGATTATTAAACCTTAAACCAAAAATAACCCAAGGTCATTTTAAAACCTTAGGTTTGCTTAACTAGTAAAAAAAGGTCTGCTTTGAACATTATTCTCTTTCAAGGTCTATCTGTATGGGCTCAATATGACAACAGCAGCTTGAAGATTGAATAGGAATCTATCAAGCAATGTCCTTATATTAAGGAGGGAGAGGCAACTCAGAAAAGGGGGGTGTGTGTTGTTGCCTAACCTGAAGAATATAGTCAATGTCACCAGATTGAACATGGCTTATGAATGTTATGCTGTACTGTAAAATAACAAGAAAATAAAATTTTAAAGGAATGAACAGGCGGAGGAAGTCAGTGATGCTTTCAATAAGTGATCAGTTTGAAATTGGGAAATGAGATTTGACTCTAGAGCCCAGCTTGACACCACCAGGTTCTCCCCAGCCCAGTCGATGCCCTAGAATTGCTGAGCACACAGGTCTGATCATGCTTCTGCTCACTAAATGAAATGGAGCCCTTTTACCTTCACTTTTTTTTACTATGGAAATGGGAGGTCCTATTTGAAAATTATTACTGAGAACGCCTGATACACACACATGTATATATATATATATATATATATATATATATATACATATATACCCATTACTACAGAGTCAATTCTGACTCCCAGCCACTCTGTATAGGTTTGTTGAGGCTTTACAGGAGGAGAAAGTCTCATCTCATCTTTTTACACCGTACCTCTGGTGGATTTGAACCAACAAGCATGTGGTTAGCAGTCCAACACTTACCATCACCACCAAAACTCCTTCAAAGGTGTGTGTGTGTATATGCATACACACTTGACATTCTTAAATAAGTTCTTGGTCCTAGTAAGTGAAACAGTTATCACTGTACCTTCTTTAGTGAAGTTAAAGCCCTTATGACAATATTTAAAATTTAACAAATAAGTTTTACTGTATAGTTGAACAAAGTTTTCAAGTGAATAAAGACATCAGCCAAGAGCAGGCCAAAGTTAGAAAACTCAGAAGCAGAATGAACCAAGACCTTGACTTCATTAGCACTGAGCTGTTTAACATTTCATATTATGCTGAACAGGAAGGTATGACAGTATTACTTTGATTTTTTGTTGATCCCGCTTAATTTCTGTATCCAGTTGCTTCTTTTTTTCATTTTCTTCTCGAAGTCGTCTTTGCAGCTGTGCCTTTTGATATTTCATGTGATCTACATTCTGCTCTAGTTCGTTAGCACGTTTCTCGTTTTGGATAGAAAGTGATGCCAATTTCTTACTGTCTTGTTGCTTCTTCTGTAAAACCTGAGATCACATAGGACATTTCAGAATGAAAAATGGCACCTCTCACATTCCTCCACAGAACACTATTTTTCATTCAATGGCAAGGGTAAAGATGTTGCCTAGATTTCCATTTTTATAAGTCCACAATTGTTTTCTCAACACTTTTACAATTGGAACAATCATTTTCACCAAATACATAAAAAGTACAGTCATGAGCTTTCCTGATGTGACAACCAAGCAGAACATAGTGGATCTCTCTGCCTTTTTAATGAATATTCTCATTTCAAAATATATTATTTTTAAATGTGGCAAAAATTAAATATTGCAATAATACATGGCAAAAACTGAAACAGTACAAAACAGAATTTATATTTTAAAAGATGTCCTTTGATCCAATTCCTAATCTTCCTGTCCTGCTCCCTCACATGAAATTACCAATTTCTTAAACAGCCTTCCAGAAATAATTTATGCACACGCATGCAAATAATTAAAGAGAAAGTTTACTTATCTAGCTAATGTCTGCAGAAGCATTAACAATATGCTAACGTTTTCAGAATTAGCATTCCACTAAGTACCACCTCCATCCCCAAACCAAGCCCAATGCTTTGGCGTCATTCTGCTTCATAATGACCTTACAAGACAGGACATAAGTACCCCATCGGGTTTCCAGAGTTGTAAGTCTTTCTAGAAGCAGATTGTCACACTTCTCTGGTGGGGTGGGTGCTGGCTTCAAGTTGCCACCCTTTTGCAGCCAAGCATTTATCCATTGTACCACCAGGGCTTCTTATGTACCTCGTGATGGAAAAAAGTTATGGTGAAACCATATGCAGGCTACAATTTTCTTCTTTCCTTTATTTTTGCAACAAATTATTAACAGAAACATTAAATTAAACTTACTGTTCACAAAGACATGATAGCAGCACTACTCCCAAGTGTGTTCTGTGGACCGTGCTCATCCAAAAATGGCTGCTGTTGATCAGCACCACGGAACACACTAGTAGATGCAGCTGTCCCTGTTTCCAGGCGAGACCGAAGGAGGCTGCCAGTGTACTCGTTTACCTTGATCCCGGGGCACCTAAGAACAAGTAGTTTGCACAGGAACTATTGCGTAGCCCTGACTCACAAGCCACAATGTGGCCTTTGCAACTTCCCATCCCTGGATTTGCTTACTTGCTTTGCCTTTTAATACTGTCAATCATGGAGCAAAAAGGGCAATACCAGCACTTTAATTTCTATTTCGCAAAATACTGAAAAGATCAGAGTAAAAGTTGATAATTTTATTTTTAAATGAGAGGTGGTTGGCATTCCTTTTTACACTAATTCTACAGTTGCTGCACTCTGGAACAGAGGGGCTCACAGTGCACCTTTATTAGTACGAAGACATTAATGCTCTATTAATTATTACTCTATACCTAGGGACATAAAAATATAAGCTTCATGTTTTTAAAATATTGACGTAACTGCCCTACACCAGTGAACACATTGGAATTTCAGTATTTTTAATGGTAGGATGATAGTAAAAACGTAATGTCACCAAAACTATGTGATTATGAATGAGTTAGTTTACCTTTCTAAGCCTAGCCTCTTCGATTTTTAAGTGGGCATAAATATACCCACTTCAGATGACAAAATGAAGATCGAATAATGTATGTAAGTCCTTGGTATGTATCTGGGATTGGGGTACTCAACAATTGGCAACTACTGCCCTCACCATCACCCCCATTACCATGCTCAGCAGCTCAGCAGCCCCATCCCCATGATTAGTGCATGGTTATTAATGCACAAAGGCACAGAAATTTCTAAACCAACACAAAAATTGTTCGTCCTCTGAAGTAGCAGGTATTTCTTTTTAGCTTAAATTCTGTGCTTTCTCTTTTGCTTTCCTTGCCAGACCCTTAAGAGAGACCTTGGGTGGTGCAAATGGTTGATGTACTTGGCTGCTAGCTGATAAGATTAGAGGTTGAATCTACCCAGAGGTGTCTTGGAAGAAAGGCCTGGCTTTCTCAGGAAAAATGAACCACTGAAAATCATATAGAGCACAGTTCCAGTCTGACACACAGAATGTCTACACGAGTCAGAATTAACTCAATAGAAACTGGTTACATCAAGAGAAAAACATGGAATTAGGAAGCATGGGAAACAAAACATCATAACTCACAAGTACTATTAATAATTCAGCTACTAACCGAAAGGTTAGTGGTCCTGCACCACCAGTGCTCAACAGAAGACTGCTCCTGTAAAGATTTGCAGTCCCAGAAACCCTTGGGAGTTCTCAAATGTCCTATAGGTCGCTATGAATTGTAATCAACTCAATGGCAATGGGTTTGGTTTTTATATTTGATTATTAATTATGTGAGAGAAAACACATTATTAAATTTATTATATAATTTATTAAATTTCATTAAATTTATATATAAGGCTTAAACGATAAAAGTATACCTGACCTACTACTATCAAGTCAATTTTAATTCATAGGGACACTATACAGCAGAGTAGAACTGGCCTCCTAGAGTTTCCAAGTTTGCAAATCTTTACATGAAGAGAAAGCCTCGCTTCCTTCCTTCCTTCCTTCCCTGCCTCCCTCCCTTTTCTTTAAGAAAAAAAAAAGGAGAAAGCCTCATCTTTTGCCCTTATAACAGCTGATGGTTCAAACTATTGACCTTGAAGTAAGCAACCTAACATTTGCCCACTATGCCATCATGGCTCATTTATAGAAGTAATTTCTTTAGAAATGCAATAGTTCCATTTATTACTACGGTGAATATAAGGATTACAATTAGAACTAAGGCTACTATATAAACTTATGAAATTATAAAATTTCATACAAAACACAAGGGAAAAATATCAGTTTTGTTTATAGTAATGTTTTGTGAAAATGAATACTATGTTAAACAACACAGCCTTCATATAAAAGAGTCAAGAAATGAAAATGAATTGATCCCACTCTTAAGATGAATTACAAACAAACAAACAAACACTCGCTCCCACGGAGTCAATTCTGACTCACAGTGACTCTATGAACAGAATAGAACTTCCCCTGTAGGTTTCTGAGGTATAAATCTTTATAGGAGCTGACAGCCGCGTTTATTCTTGCAGAGCTGTTGTTGGTTTCAAACTGCTGACCTTGTGATTAGCAGCCCAATGTGTAACCCATTTGACCACCTAGGTACTTTCTGAGATGAATTAATACGTGAAAAGGTGTATTCTGATTTGTTCTGAAAGATGATTCATCTGCTCTGTGTCGGGATCCCTGTTAGACTTGGACAATCTGTCATTTATTATTATTTTTTGTATTTATCTATGTAAGTAAACCTTATTTCTGAAGATGCCCAGATGTTTTCTATAGAATGCAACTAGGCTCTCTGGAAGGCCTCCGCGCCCTTCTTTAAAGTTTTATTTGTTTTTTTTCCTGTCATATAGACTCCCCCCAGCCAAACCCCGACAGTTTTCACCTCAGCAGTCACACCTAGGGCAGGACCTGGCACACAAGGAGGTGGGCAGTAAACACTTTTGTTGACAGAAAAGAATAACTGTGGCACTGTTTACTACTATTCTCAATAGGTTAGTTACAATTCAATTCCACATACAATGAAAATCATATGAGGTTTTTGATAATGTTGTTAGTTATCATGGAGTCGATTTTGACTCATGGCAGGCCCATGTGTGCAGAGTAGAAATGTGTTCCATTGGGTTTTTAAGACATTTTTGGAAGCAGTTCACCCTACCTTACTTTTGGGGTTCCTCTGCATGGATTTAAACCCCAACCATATGGTTAGCTGTCCGGTGCTTAATGACTTGAACTACTCAGGGATTATTTTCACAATAAGCTTAAATAATAATTCTTCTTGAATGAATAGGCTAAAACCAAACCCATTAGTCGATTCAGACTCAAAATGAACTGATAGGACTGAGTAGAATTGCCTCCTGGGGTTTCCAAGGCTGGAATCTTTACAGAATCAGACTGCCACATCTTTCTCCTGCTCAGTGACGGGTAGGTTCCAATTGGCAACCTGATGGTTAGTAGCCAAGCCTTAATCACTGAGCCACCAGGATTCCTTAGAAACCTATTCTATATAGAGAACTTGTAAAAATATGTAAACTGACCAGGAAAATAAAAGTTGTCATTCTGTTTTCCCTGCTGATTTCATATTCTACTGAAAATAAACACTGAACCCCATTTGTCTCCCATCTCAGTACAATAATCTTCAAAAACAGGGGGCCTAAATAACTTTTGCAATTAAATGTTCACAATTACCTGGACTTTCAGCTTTGCAGCATCCATCTTTTTACGGAACTCCTTCTGTAATTTTACCTTCAAAGCAATATCAGAAAGATCTTTGTTTTCCAGTTCCCGCAGCTGCTTTTGTGTGTCTGTTAATTCCACTCTTGCCTGTTCTGCTTCATGTTCTAGTTTTGTTACTTTCAGAGAATACTGTTTGCTTACAGACTTGGCATCATTACCTTCACAATAGTAATAATAATAATTTTAAATTATGTTTTCCAAAAAGTAAAACAAAAACATTTAAATGTTCTCTGAAAATTATAGTTGGGAAGTGTTACTAGTTAGGGCCTAGCATTAAAACCCAACACTCCACCCAGTGGCACCAGTACAAACCAGGCAGGTGGTCTCTCAATAATCATTTTATTTTGTTCTTATCCAGTACCATTTAATTTTCTCACTGATTCACCTTTAATGCTTTAGTCTTAAAATTTGGACATCGTGAATTTTCACTTTAGCTTTACTGAAAACATATTCCAATTAAGAAGTATTTTTGCAATGACTCTTGGCCCTCTTGCTTACTGTACTTTGGTATGCTGCTACCTGTAAACTATATCTTTGAATTATTTTAAACATGAGAAATAGGGAATAAGATGATAAACTCTCATCACCCAATTTCAAGAACTATTAAGATCTTGGTTTTTTATTTTTAATTTAAATAATGAAAATATTTTATCTATACATGGGGTTTTTTTGGCATTACTTGCTTGATTACCATAAAGCAAACTCTCACCTATATAGATTTTAGTAAGAATCTATACAAAATATGGATATAGTCAAAAAGTCATTGTTATACCTAACAATATTAACACACCCAGCCTATATTCACGCTTTCCCAAGTGTCTCAAAAATATCTCTTGCAATTGTTTAATTTTTATTAGGATCCTAAAAAGGTCAAAAACATGTCAAGTCCCTTTAGAATCTTAGAACTGGCTCTTTCCTCTTCCATTTGTTTAAGATGAATTCTTTAAAAACGTTTTTATCAATATTAAAAGCATATTCTAATTCATAGCAATGCTACTGTGTACAACAGAATGAAACCCAGTCTCATACCACGCCCACACTCTTTTTGTTGGAGCCACTGGAGTAAATCCATTGTGGGGGTTCCCCCCCTTTTTTTGATTCTCTACTTTACCAAGCATGATGTCCTTTTCCAGGGACCAGTCTCCTGATAACACATATTCAAAGTATGTAAGATGAAGTATCATCATCCTCACTTCTAAGGAATACTCTGGTTGTACTTCTCCCTCTGACAGTTCATAGTGGTGTTATTCGTACCTCTCTCATTTGCACAATTTTATTGGGGACTCTTACAACTCTCTTCACAATTCATACATACATCCATTGTCACATCACAATTCAAATGCATCAATTCTTCTCTGGTCTTCCTTACTATTCATTGTATATGCAGCAATTGAAAATATCATGGCTTTTAGTCCAGCAAATATTGTTCTGCCTTTGTGAATGAGTGTTATTGGAAGTTTTGCTGTATCTCAACCCCCATTGTGTAAACAGTGTCTAGTCACCTAAGTTGTTAATCTGTACAAATCAACAATCATGTATTTTTGTCTAAAACACTGTCCTATACAAGTACACTTGACTCTTGTCAAGAGTGTTTTAAATTCTATACCATTGGCTAAATCAGTGCTTAGTATCAATAGTATTGCCGTACATCCCATGAGGATGATTTAAAATGTTCTACACTAATAATGATATCACTAAAGTGAACCAGGGAAAATACTTGCCCTCATGAAGAGATCACTGAAGATATAGGTGCTATAGCAATGTGTGGTGTAGAAAACAGATGGTTGCCAGTTATCAGAAAGAATAGCATCTGGGGTCTTAAAGGTTAATGGCAAAGCAAACAGCCATCTAAATTAGGCATCAGCTAAATCCACCCAGAAAAGCACACCAGACTATCTATGGATTAAATCTAAATCTAAGGATTAAATAACACAATACAAATCTGGAGGAAAGAACAGTATCAGAGCTTAAATTCTGAGTACCTGGTTTTGCAGAAGGCTGTAGATGACAGTGAAAGCCCAAAGTCCATTTACAGGGGTCCCACATGGATTATGCCTCTGGTGAATCCCCTCACACTATGGACTAGGGATGAGAATGGCCTTGTTATCAGAGAGTACATTGTATGGTGGATGCCTGTAGATGTAGTTAGACACAAATGTGACACCTTGTCATGTGATCGTCCTTTTTAGTCTAATATTTAATATTTTCTGCTTTCTTTTCCATTTAGGTTTTCTATGTTTTATTCTGTCATTGTAATGTTTTTTGTTTGTTTTGACTTGTATATTTTTCCTTATTATGAAATTCAGGTTATATAAATCTATAGAGACAGTATGAAAGGTGGGAAATGGAGAGCTAACAATAATGAGTATAAGAAAGAAGAAATCTAAAAATCATGGCGATACATAATTCTTTTTAATATGGTCGATGTATGAAATATATGGTATGTAAATTATGTCAATAAAATTTTTTTTATTAAAAGATCATTTATTGTGGGCTCTTACAGCTCTTTTAACAATCTATACATCAACTGTATAAAGCATATTTGTCCATATGTTGCCATCATTATTTTGTAAACATTTACATTCTATAGAGCCCTAAGTCAATTGTACTGTAGTTCTTAAAGTTACGTCTTGGCTTCATAACCCTTTAAAGAAGTCTTGTGCAATAGATTTGCCCAATGTAATATATTCTTTGATTTTTTTTTTTGATTGCTGCTTCATGCGCACTGATTGTGAGTCCAAGGAAGAGGAAATCCTCGTCTACTTCTTTTCTCAATTTACTATGATGTTGTCTATGGTCTGTTGTAAGGATTTTGATTTTCTTTCAATTGCATTGTGATCTATACTGAGGACTGCAATCTTTGATCTTCCTTAGTAAGTGCTTTAAATAATATTCACTTTCAGTAAGCTAGGTTTTGCCATCTGCATATCAGATTATTGAATCTTCCTCCAATTGTTATGCCTCAATCTTCTTCATACACTCCAGCTTCTCATTATTTGCTCAGGACAGATTGAGTAAGTATGGTGAAAATATACATTACTGACACAGACTTATCCTGATTTTAAACCATGCAGTATTCTCTTGTTCTGTTCAAACAACTTCGTCTATACAGGCTCTGCGGGAGCAGAAGTATGTGCTCTGGAATTCTTTTCAATGTCATCCATAGTTTATTATGATCCACACAGTTAAATGTCTCTGAATAGTTAAAAAAAAAAAAACTTACACAAGTATCTTTCTGGTTTTCTCTACTTTCAGCCAAGTTCCATCTGAGGTTGACAAGGTATTCCTCATTCCATGTACTATTATGAATCTGGCTTGAAATGTTGGTAGCTGTCTATGTACTGCTACAACCATTTTTTAAGTTATCTTCAGCAAAATTTTACTTCCATTTGATACTGATACTGTTCAATAATTTCCACATTCTGTTGGGTCACATTTCTCTGGAATGGGCACAAGAATGATCTCTTCTGGTCATTTGACCAGGTAATTGTCTATATTTCTGGGCATAAATTAGAGTGCTTTAAGCATGGCATCAGTTTTTTAAAATGTTTCCATTGATACTGCCAATCCTTGGAGCCTTGTTTTTCACTAATACCTTCATTTCAACTTAGACTTCTTCCTTCAAATAGCATTGGTTCCCGATCATATGCTACCTCTTAAAGTGGTTGACCATGACTAATTCTTTTTGAGATAGTAACTATGTGTCGTCTTTCCACCTTCTTTTGATATTTCCTGTATTGTTCAATATTTTACACAGAAAATCCTTCAATATTGCAACTCAAAGCTTGATTTTTTATATTTATAAATATTTTTATTAATCGAGGCATCATCTTTATACCTTCAACTTAGTTTTTTGGGTGGTGGTGGTAGAGGGTTAAGAATTTGATGGGGACATAATCCATAAATCATGCAATTCAATAGTTCAATCATATCAAGAAGAGTTAAAAAAAACAGAGTTGTGCTATCATTACCATATTTATTAATATATGTATTTGTATTCCTTGTTATTTTCCCCCCAACCTTCCCTGCCATTCCTCCAAGAAACCATTAAATCAGTTACTGTCTCTATTGATTCACCCAGCCTGGATATACTGAAAAACATAAAAAAACAAAGAAATAAAAAAGCTAGCAACAACAAAATAAGAGAAAAACCTCAATGAAAAGAAAGTAGAAAATATTAAAAACTAGAACAACTTTAAAATGGGTAAAAAGGGAAATAAAATGTTAAGGTATTTAACCTATGTCTGAATAATCCATTTTCCAATACACTCTAAAAGACAGCAAGGCTATTCACATCCTTGGTCTATTTTCAAAGGAAATTCATGTGTATTATCCCTTTTTTTAAAAAATTTGTATATGGATCAAAGGGGGATAAAATAAGATGTTAACATTTTAACTTGACTATATCTACTGTAAAAGCCTATATCGACTATAAAAACCTGTGATCCATAAGGTTTGCAGTTTGAAACCACCAGCTTCCTACTCCTGTAGAGATTTACAGTCTCAGGTTAACAAGCAGCCATCTAGCTCAGAAGCAACAAAGCCCACATGGAAGAAGCACACCAGCCTGTGTGATCATGAGGTGTTGTCGAAGGGATCGGGTATCAGGCATCAAGGAACAAAAAATCATATCATTGTGAACGAGGGGGAGTGCAGATTGGGGACCCAAAGCCCATCTGTGGGCAAGTGAACATCCCCTTACAGGAGGGTCATGGGGAGGAGATGAGCCAGTTAGGGTGCAGTGTAGCAACGATGATACATACAACTTTCCTCTAGTTCTTAAATTCTTCCTCCCCCCACTATCATGATCCCATTGTACCTAACAAATCTGGCTAGACCAGAGGATGTACACTGGTACAGATAGGAACTGGAAACACAGGGAATTCAGGGTGGATGATCCCTTCAGGACCAGTGGTGTGAGTGGCGATACTGGGAGGGTGGAGGAAAGGTGGGGTAGAAAGGGGAAACTCATTACAAGGATCTACATATAAACTCCTCTCTGGGGGACAGACAACATAAAAGTGGGTGAAGGGAGATGTCATACAGTAGAAGATATGACAAAATAGTAATTTATAAATTATCAAGGGTTCATGAGGGAAGAGGGAGCGGGGAGGGAGGGAGAAAAATGAGCTGATACTAGGGGCTCAAGTAGAAAGCAAATGTTTTGAGGATGATGGCAACAAATGTACAAATGTGCTTTACACAATGGATGGATGTATGGATTGTGATAAGAGTTGTATGAGCCCCCAATAGAGTGATTTAAAGAATAAAAAAGGAGTTACAGTCTCAAAAACCCAAAGAGGCAGTTCTGTTCTGACCTTTGGGGTCGCTTTAAGTCGGCATGAACTCAATGGCAGTGAGTAGTATAGTGTATATCTACTATAATCATTGCTACAACACTGGCTATTCATATCCCTCAAATATGGAAGAGCGATTCACCAGAAGCTTGGGGATCCTGCAAATGGATTTTGGGCTTCCACTGTCATCCATAGCCTTCTATGAAGCAGGTGTTCACAATTTAAGCTCTGATACCATTTGCTCCTTCGGATTTGGATTGTATTATTTACAGTCCTTGGAAAGACTTGAATTTTTTCCTTGAGATAATGCTAATCGTGTCCTTCCCTTTTGGTTTTCCAGTTCCAGTCTTTCCAGTTTGTTTTAATACTATTCTGTATCTTCTCAAGTTGCCCTGTGAAATTTTCTGTTGAGCTCTTTTACTTTATTTCTTCTGTTCACTTTAGTTTCTCTCTTCTGACGTCCACTGGGGTCTTTTATTTTTTTTCTTATTTGAATTATTTTTTGTGTGTATAATGTTCTTGATATCATCCCACATCTTGTCAGGTTTTCTGTCATTAGTGTTCAATACATCAAATCTATTATTGAGATGGTCTTCAGAATTCAGGTAGGATATACATATGTTGGTTCTTGTGAAGATCTGTGAAATGCTAAGATGCATTTAAGCAGTTTCGAGGGCTGTTCCATAGTGTCCTGAGTGATGATATTGATCTATTCCATTTTACCTTGCCACAAATGTGGTGCTTTGATTCCTTTGTATTCCATCTGGTGAGGTCCAGTGGCTAGTTGCCATTATGTTATTGAAAAAGGTATTTGCAATGAATAAGTTATTGGTTTGTTAAAATTCTACCATGCAATCAATCTCAAGCTTCATTCCATCACCAAAGCCAAAGACCAGCTACTGATCCTTCCTCGGGTTCCAATTTTCATATTACAATCACCAGCATTTTGATTGCATATTTGACCAATTTTAGACTCAAGAAGTTGACAAATTCTTCAACTTCTTTATCATTGGCTTCAGTGGTTGGTGCATAAATTTGAATAGCAATTGTGTTTACTGATTTTCCCTGTACGTGTCCAGATATTATCCAATCACAGCATTGGACTTCAAGATAAACTGAAATCTTCTTGACAATGTATGTGACACCGTTCCTCTTCCATTACATTCCTGACACAGTAAACCCTATGATTGGCTGATTCAAAGTGACCAATGCCAGTCCATTTCAGCTTACTAACGCTTAGAATAGAAATCTTTATGGATTCCATTTAATTTTAAACAACTTTCAATTTTTTTTAGATTCCTATTTTGTACATTCCACATGATGATTATTAATGGTGGAATGATGATTATTAATGGAAGTCCACAGTTGTCTCTTCTCATTTGACTCATGCCCCACAGTAAATGAAGGTCCAGGCACATCATTAAAGTTGACTCTACTCTAAGGAAGTAGCTCTTCCTTCATAAAACCTCAAACTTCCCATGCTTTCTCCGCCCCACCCCCACCCCAATCATGACCCCAGTTCTACCTTACAAGTCCGGCTAGACCAGAGCATATACATTGGTGCAGATAAGAGCTCTCGACACATGGAATCCAAGACAGATAAAGCCCTCAGGTATAATAATGGGAACAATGATACCATGAGGGTAGGGGGGAAAAGGTAGGGGGAGAAACGGGAAACTGATTGCAATGATCAACGTATTTACCTCCCCACCCCAAGCCAAGGTGCCAAAAACAGAAACATGGGTGAAGGGAGACGACAGACAGTATAAGATATAAAAATAATAATTTATCAAGGATTCATGAGCGTAGGAAGTTGGAGGAAGGAGGAAAAAATTTGAGGAGATGATACCAAGAAAGAAAATATTTTTAAAAGGATGATGTCCACATATGTACAAATGTGCTTGACACAATGGATGTATGGGCTATTATAAGAGCTGTAAGAGCCCCCAATAAAATGATTAAACATAAAACAAAAAAAAACTCTAACTGCCACCGAGTCAATGCTGACTCACAGAGTAGAACTGTCCCTGTAAATCTTTATGAGAGCAGAAAGCATGGTCTTCCTCCAACAGCCCTTCCCTAGTTTAATTTTTAGTGCCTTCCAACCTGAGGGACTCATCTTCCAGCACTTCATCAGAAATGTTCCTTTGCTAGTCTTAAGGCTTTCGGTGGCTAATGCTTCAGAAGTAAATGCCGTATTCCTTCTTCCTAGTCTATCTTAGTCAGGGAAGTCTGCTGAAACCTATTCACCATGGGTTACCCTGCTTATATTTTAAATACTAATGACATAGCTTCCAGCATCACAGCAACACATAAGCCACCACAGTATGACAAACTGAAGGATGTCGGATACATATTTCTATCTCTCTCTTCATTTAAAACTCAACTACTGACCTTAAAAACTTTGAATTGGAATTGCCTTTAAGAGTCAACTGTCCCTGAACTAAACTGCCTAACTCACTGTAGAACAACATAGTTTAAGTTCATTTGGTTAAAACAACTTGTAAATAAAATCAAAGTATAAAAGGTTATTTTGATAACTAATTTCCCATATATTGTCTCTAAGACACACCCTGACATATACCAAATTTCAAGCTATAATGGGCAGTCCTAAGCATCAAAAACTAAAGTAAACATCAGAAGCAATTTTAAAATCTGTTTGTCCTAAGATCTGGTTTGTAGGCTACTGTTACCTGTTTTTATCAGTTCTTTAATAAGATCTTCCTTCATCTTGATATTAATTGTAAGTTCCCTCATTTTTTGCTTAGCTTCAGTGAGTAAGAGTTCAGACTTCCTTAATTTTTGCAAATTTAACTCTTGACTTTCCTGAAGACATTCAATCTTTGCATCTTTCACATTAAAAAGAGAAAGAGAAAGAAAACGAAATGCTCTTGTAACATTCAACAGAAAACAAACCCAACCCAGCCCCATTGCCACACTATAAAATATATATATGTGTATATATATATATATGTATATATACACACACTTAGTCATATACTATAGATTCTGAGACATAGTTTTCACTATATTTTTGTGGTTTTAACAGTTCGTGGAGTATGCTGGTTATAGTGAGGGGAAAGAGGGTTAATGGGAACTGATGTCAAGAAGGAAGACTTTTTTGACACTGACTGTGGTAGCAATTGTACTGCTTGATGTGATTGAACTATGGAATGATATGATAACTGTATTAGTTTCCAATGAAATGATTTGGAGGAAAGAAAAGAGCATTGGCTCTGAAGATAAAATATTGTTGTTAGTTGCCATTCAGTTGAGACCCTTGTTGATCCCATGTGTTTCAGAGTAGAACTGTCATCACAGGGCTTTCAAAGATGTAACATTATCACTAGGTCTTCCAACATGTGCTTGATCCATGTCACCCAGGGACTCCTCATTCAATATCTTTAAATATTCTGTTGTTTGAGTTTTGCTTTAACTTGACTTAATTTGCAAGAGATGTAAAAATCTCCAGTGACATCTGCCAGTGAATAGAGGATTGGCTTAGTTCTTATTTTCAGTTTTATTGTGATTGGAGAATAGAGCCTGTAGCATGCTGCTGAGTATGTGATAATGTTTGTTACTGTTTGTTACCTTCTGTAAAATGTAAATTCTCGATGTCACTAAACATACTGTTTTAATTTAGCTGACACTGAGTTGAGGTTTCACAGCAAGGCTTTCTCCATGTAGTGGCTGATTTACCGTCTGCCTGAGTTTCTTACCTGGTTGCTGCAGACCAGTAACAAACAGTTCAAGAACAATTACCTTATTGCACTGTTCTAACATGTCTACATTTTGACATTTATTTTCATTTTATTGTACATGACATATAGTCAATTTATTATATTACATGTATAAGCTCTTAAAAAAGGATGTTCGCTACCTTCATAGGATAAGACTTGCCAGGTTTACATTGTATATACCCCTATTCTTTTTTTGTGGTTTAACCACTTATGTGCCAAGAGTGATGAGTTAAAATTTCCTACAATCCTATGGTTTTTGCTACATAGATATTTATTTAAAATCTAATTTAGACACATATGCAAGTAGCTACCTTTAGAGAGCGGGATCAGGGGAGGGAGAGTTTTTTTAATTTCTGTGCATTTTGTTCTTTTTCATGTGCATCCTTTACAACAGTTTGAATATTCCTTTTTTTGACATACACATTTTTGATGCCATTATTTTATGTACAAAAATTCTCAATTGTGTAGTAGGGCATTACAAGCCTCCAGTAAACTCTAATGCCCAATACATGTGAGATTTGTAAAATGTACAGTAAAAAGTTGTAAAATAAATATGAAGGTACATAAACAAGCATATATGTAAATGAAGTAATAGACACCTTAGTAGATTATTTACACAGGTTACTCTAAAGTAATGAAATGCCCTTCAACTGAGGCTTGAATGTAAAAACCCTATTCTGAGAGTTAGCCTCTAAGTCTACCCAGAATGGACTAGTCTAAAGTGAAAAAACTTCTATGAAGGAGTAAGTAGGAATATTGAAAAATTCAAATCAGAAGTTAAGCAGACAACATAATAAAGAATCTTCTAACCAAGAAAGCCCTCATAGCAAACACTAAACTTGGAGAACTCCTACATGTTTCTTAAATTACTGAACGTATAAACATTTGATATAAATTATTCAAATTTCTATACCTTCATTTGTCAAAGTCGACTTGTGTGTTTGACCCTGAGTATCAGTCAATTCAACAAGAGAAGAAACAGGGCTTAGCTTCTGAACCACTGGGAGACTTCTACGTCGTCTTTAACAAGAAAGAAAAATGAAGAGCAAAAACAACTTGTTTGTTAGCTTTTTCTAATATACCCTTAAATCAGTTTCCCCCAAGAGTGATAGTAATGTGCTTTTAAGTCTCATATAAAATATACAGAATTTTACCAATACTCTTCAAAATAAAAGGATTTGGTGGGAAATGTAATTTTTATTGCTTATGGTAGCAGCAGAATCAGAAAATCCAAAACCACCCCCTTGAAAATTAGAATCCATCAACTTAGAGGTCTGAAACCAAAGTATTGTTAAATTACAAGACTGATGACTATGTTCAAACATTGGCTTCGTAACATATTACTTCAATGTTATATTCAGCAAAACCTACCTACTCTTGTGGGAAAGATCTACCTATCACAATGAAAAAAACCTTCACCTGTATAAGAGGGCTTCAAAACCTGGAAAAATTCCACTATTTTTCTATTCTGTTTTTCCATAATTTTTTGCTCCCCTTGTAGATATTTATTGCATCATAAAATTATAATAATATAAAATAAGTCCGTTTAACATACCTAAATCCAGATTTCTCCTGGCCTTCTACTTCTTCATCCTCACTATTATCAGAAAATTGGCAGTGGAGGACTTCATCTTGTTCTTCTAAGTGACCCAACAGCATCTGACTTCGTGTTCGAAACCCAGCAGCTATTCGATCCAGAGAGTACATAGGACTTGTGTAGACCTTGTAAATAATGGCCCCACCCAATAACAAAAATTGTGAGTTTTCAAATTTCTCGATTTATCTTATTTCTCAAAATGTTTTTAAGACATTACTAGATAGGTACTTTAAAATAACTTTCCACTGACAATATGGACCTCTGAAAGTCAAAATTCATTTCAAAATATTATCTTGCCTCCTTATGCTGAGTGAAATTAGTCAATCACAAAAGGACAAACATTGCCTGAAACCAGTTATAAAAAGTCAAGAAAAGGTTTTCACACTAAAGAAACCAACACTGATGGTTACCAACAGTGGGAGGGGAAGGTGGGGAGGGAGATCACCTTCTAGACGGTTGTTGTTAGGGGCGATTGAGTCAGTTCTGACTCATAGCAACCCCATGTACAACAGAACACGATACTGCCTGCTCCCACAGCATCCTCACAATTGTGCTGAAACTCACTGCTGCAGTCGCTGTGTCAATCCATCTCCTGAGGGCCTTCTTTGTCACTGACCTTCCACCTTACTAAGCATGACTGATTTTTTTTTTGTGCCAGTGTCCTGATAACATGTCCCAAGTATGTGAGATGAAGTATTTGCCATCCTTGCTTCTAAGGTGCATTCTGGCTGTACTTCTTCCAAGACAAATTTGTTTTTCTGGCAATCCATAGTAGTTTCAATATTCTCTGCCAACATAATTCAAATGCACCCATTTTTCTTTGGTCTTCATTATTCATTGTCCAGTTTTCAAATTAATATGAAGCAATTGAAAATATTTTGGCTTGGATCACACACACCTTAGGTCTCAATGACATCCTTACTCAACTTTAACAAAATCTTGTGCAGATTTGACCAGTGGAATAGAGTTTAATTTCTTGACTGCTGCTTCCATGAACATTATGATTCAAGCAAAATGAAATCCTTGACAACTTCAATCTTTTCTGTTTATCATGGCACTATTTATTAGTCACATTGTGAGGATTTGAGTTTTCTTTACATTGTTATAAACCAATACTGAAAGCTATAATGCTTAGTCTTCATCAGCAAGTGCTTCAAGACCTCCTAGGTTTCAGCAAGCGAGGATGGCTCATCTACATATTGGAAGTTGTTAATAAGCCTTCCTCGAATCCTGAAGTCTTATTTTTCATATAGTCCTGCTTCTTGGATTATTTGTTCAAAGTACAGATTGAATGAAGGTGGTTAAAGGAATGGACTTTTAATGTGCATTGATCCCACATGAACATAATGAAATGTTCTGAAGTTCCCATTATTCTTAATATGATCCATTGTCTGTTGTGATCCATACATTCATATGCTTTTACATAGTCAATAAAATGCAAGTAAACATCTTTCTGGTATTCCCTGATTTCCAGCAAGTCATCTGAATTCAACAATGATATTCCTCTAGACCTGTCTTCTTCTGAATTTTGATTGGTATTCCATCAATTCCTGGAACCTTGTTTTTCTTTAAATCGTTTTATTGGGGGCTCGTACAACTCTTACCACTATCCATACGTGCATCCATTGTGTCAGGCACATTTGTTGCCATCATCATTCTCAAAACATTTTTTTCTACTTGAGCCCTTGGTATCAGCTCCTGGAGCCTTGTTTTTCAATAATGCCTTCAGTGCAGCTTAGACGTCTTCCTTTAGTACCATCAGTTCTGGATATTTCCGATGGTCTTAGGAACCGAGACACCGCTCCACTATCCGACTCCAGGCGGGTCTGTGTACATGCAGATATGCCCAGATACAAGTGCCCAGCTTGAAGACTATTACCCATGCTACACCATACTTCAAGATAAAATTTCATTTATTTGTAATTAGAAATAAATATATCACAATATATAATTACATATTGTTTTTGTGATCAATCACTATGCTTTATGTTCAATTTATAACAATGAAAATACATCCTGCATATCAGATATTTATATTATGATTCATAACAGTAGCAAAATTACAGTTATGAAGTAGCAATGAAAATAATTTTATGATTAGGGAGGAACTGTATGAAAGGGTTGTGGCATTAGGAAGGTTGAGAACCACTGCTATAGCCACTCTATGTCCAAGAGCAAGTTTCAGTCTTTTGAAATCCACTTTGGTCTCTTTCTTTCCTTTTTAATAACTGTTTACTTAATATGTGATATTCTTGATGTCATCCCACAGCTTGTCAGATCTTCTGTCATTAATGTTTGAGATAGTTAAGGTTTACTGTGCCAACAACTTGGGCGATAAACACGTGGGATCAATTGAAGGGCAGAAAGATAAATGGCTTGGTCAGCCTCGCCCTTGTAGTTCTCAGGTATCTTTTGCTGTCTGATGGTCAGACCAGGTGCAACTGCCTTAGCCAATTCCCTGCTCCAGCTGGCAAGGCTCACTTCCTGCACGACATCCCTGAGAAGCCACATGGACCTACCCTGATGCAGCCCTCGTTGTGGGAGCAGCCATGTGGAGACCCCTGCCAGTGCTGAGATGCTTACACGCTCACTGATTTGGCTTTCCTACTGCAGTTGGTGTCATCGCGTGTGTTTTGTGAGATGTAGGAAGGCTTTGTAGATTAGTGTTGGACATATGGGCTAATGTTGGACTTATGGGCTTGGACAGCACTGGGTTGGGATGCTTTCTTAATGTATACTTACCCTTTATATATATATAAACTCATTTTATATATATAAATGAGTTTTCTGTGTATTTGTTTCCCTAGTTTACATATATATATAAAATGAGTTTTTCTGTGTATTTGTTTCCCTAGTTTACCCAGACTAACACAATGCTCAATGTGTCAAATGGGTTCTTGAAATGTTCTCAAAATTTAGGTGCAATATGCTCAAAGTCATATTTTGGCTCTAGTGGATTTGTTTTAATTTTCTTCAACTTCAACCTGAACTTATAACAATTTATGGTTTGTTCCAAGTCAGCTCCTGGCCTAGTTCTTGCTGCAGATGTTGAACTTCTCTATTGTCTCTTCCCAAAGATGTAGTCAATTTAATTTCTGTGTATTACACTTGGTGCAGGTCATGTGTGTGTCCGGCTGCCATTTATGTTGCTGAAAAAGATATTTGCAATGAAGAAGTTGTTGGTGCTACAAAATCCTGTCATGCAATTTCCAACTTTGTTTCTATCACCAAAGTCACAAGATAGAAGGTAGACAGGGGTTAACTTGGATGAAGGGAGAGGAAATATCCAAAGAGAAAGACAAAAAAATGATGGAAACAGGCAAGACTATGAGAGGTCTGATGAGGTGTTTAATATAAAACTGACAATCTACTTTTCTCTGTAAACCAAATTCACGATGTTTTTTAAAGAATATTATTGCACCTCACAATTTCCCCAAGAATCTATATATCTAGTCCTTTTCTATAAAGCTCATCTGTCTTCAGTGACAGCTTCATGGAAAATAGCACGTATAATTGAAACCAGACAAGGCTCTGTGAAAGCATCATCTTACAAAGAGCCCAGGCATCGCCCAAAGTGTTGAAGCCCATCCACAGAATAGTGCAGAAAGCAAACCCTGCATCCAGAATCCTCCACCTGCCTCATGGGACAACTGTGTCATTCCTCCCTGATCAGACACTTGGAGAACCATCATGTTGCTGCTACTCCCCACTGATCTGAATTTCACCACAGGGAGAAATTCAGAGCTATTTTTACTCCTTCTACAATGGTGTATCCTTAGGATCAAATATTAGGTCCAAAACCAAAACTCACGGCCATGGAGTCAATGCCAACTCATAGCAGCAACACTGTAAGACAGGGCAGAACTGCCTTTCGCTTTCTGAAACTATTAACTCTTTACAGGAGTAGAAAACCCTGTCTTTCTCCATCAGATCAGCTAGTGGTTTTGAACTGCTCATTTTGCAGTTATAGCAGTTCAACATGTAACCACTACTATTAGGTAGCTATTGAAAATTACGATATAATATACAGTATTTATTGACTGCCAAATATTCATGATATGCTGTAAATTGAGAAATGGTAGAAATTAAAGTTTATACATAAACATAATAAATATATAATACAATTTAAAGATAAGTAAGATCAATGGAAAACTCTTGTTTTTCCATGGAAAAACTTGTCACTGGAAAAGACTCCTCATTCTTTCTGTTCAATAGATATAACATTTTTTAAATACTTAAAAAATAGTATCAATCTCTTTCTGTAATCAATAATTTTAGAAATGATTAAGCCATTTTGCCCTTTTTCTTGAGTATGATCTATACTCAAGATTTTCACTATAATAAAATATCAGAGCCACTTATAAGATATGGACACCTTAGAGTAATCATCTATTTGAGATCCAAGGCATTTACTCAAGGACAAAGTTCAGAGGATTTAAAAGGCAGAGGGAAAGAAACAGGAAAACACAGCTAGAAAGCGGGACCACTGACGTGACATTGAGGGAACTGCACTGTGTGAGAAGAAAGACCTGTGAATGATTTGTTGAATGCTCTGTAAACCGCCATTCAATCCCCAATAAAACGTTTAAAATAAACTACTTAACAACATTCTTCCATGTCAGAGAAAAGGAAATCATGACAGTAGCTGGAGTTCTGCCAAGGAGGTATCGATCTCAGAGAAAATGAAACGGTGTCTCATATAAGTGTTTGCCTTAATTTAGCTAGTGCTGATATCCAATTTAAAACCTTTCCCACACTCTTAGACCCACAGAATAGTAGAAAGAATTTTAAGTCCTGCCACATTGGGTCTCCATGCAAGCCTGCCTGCTCACATGTGCTAGAGAGACCAATCTAAGCCAGAGAAGATTCCTGGGCACACAGAGGAGGAGCAAGAGATGGCCTTTGTATCTTCCTCCTCTCTTCCCTTTTGAAACACTAACTGTGGAAATCTTCATTCAGTCATGACTGTCTGACTCATAGAGATGAGAATAGAAGGGCTTTGTCCTTCTCACAGAGGCATGGAGCTCTGGATCCCCCCAAAAAAGCGTGTGTGTGTGTGTGTGTGTGTGTGTGTGTGTGTGTGTGTGTGTGCGCGCGCGCGCGCACGCATTTAATAAAATACTGAGAGAAAATGAAGCTAAGAAAATCTAAATAGGTGCCACTTTAGAACTATAAAACACAAGCATTAATAAATAAAAGAAGGGGCAGAAACAAATTAACTACTTGTTGTTAGGTGTCTTCAACTTGATTTTGACTCGTAGCAAGGAGCCAAGAGGGAAAAAAATTAACTATAAAAGACTTAATATTAAAAAAAAAAGACTTAATATATGTAATTCTTAAATTTGTTACTATCATATTTGAATCCTGGAAATAATTTCTCTTTCATCTCAAATATTCTATGAAATTTTACCATATATCTAACCATAAATCAAATATCAATAACTGTCCAAAATATTGAGATAAATAATAACCATAATTTATATTTTTTAATCCAACTCCTCAAGACTGTAAAATTCCATATAAGGACAGCATCTGTCTTGTTCATTTTGAGGCATCTAGTACACATGGGCTTGTGTTGAGAACACAATGGGACAGGCACCAACTGGGTACCGTAGGAGTCTACAAATTATGCATATCCTCAATCCATCCTTCCTGGTACTTCCTATCACCAAAGAACCTGGGGCTCTCACATTGCTAGTTGGACTGCAAGTGCCAAACTAGAACTGCCATTCATATCCAAGTCTGTCTGACTGTTGGGTCTATGATGTGGCTCATACAGCACTTCTTCTAGTAGTTCTTACGCTATAACTGTATAGCTATCACATAGCTCTCACTAAAATAATTTCTACCCGTAAAATTAGTAAATATGAGCTAAAGCTCATGAACCTGCTATTTAGTTTTTCTATAGAACATATTCCTATTTTGCATGTTTATTGCCCACTATACATTTACAATAAAATAATAAAAGAAAACTACATTTTTATTATATCACAAAATCAAATAATACATAAATATCATTTAAAAAGTAATAAGGAATAGAATGCAAGCCAAAAATTTCATTAAGATATTAGATTCAGCTGGTACCGAGGGCTCAATATAAAGTAAATGTCTAGAAGAGAATGAGGGCAACATATGAACAAACATGCCTGATTCAACTGATGTATGGATTGTGGTAAGAATTGTATGAGCCCTTAATAAAATGATTTTTTAAAAAAGAGTATCAGATTTAGTGAAAAATTCTTACTATGTAAATAAAATGTTACATTCTCTTGTTTACCCATTTTTATTAAAAATAATTATTCTTGGTTATAAAATAAAACATGATTGAAATGAAGAGTAAACCAATTTGCTCTCTAAACTTTCACCCAAATAAGAATTCAAACAAACAAAAATCAGGCTGTAACCGTCTATTAAACCAAATAGGGGGAAAAAATTAAAAACCCCAATGAGACTGTGAACTCATACACTATGATATCATTTTGTTTATGTAGAATAAAAAGATTTATGTTTAGACTTTACCTTCCTGGAATCTGGTCTTGCTGGGATATAAATATAATGCTTCAAATGATTATCAAATGGTACAGTAAACGGTCTCTTTTCAAGTATCTTGGCATCTGGCCCATCTCCACAAGTTTCCTTCACTGAAGAAGTCATTGATAGGTTAAGTTTTGTTAGTTCTTCACTCAGTTGATCCATAAGAAGTTGTTGTTCTATTATTTTTTCATTCTTTGTAGAAGAGAATTTTTTAAACAGAGAACGTCAGTACAAGTATAGATTATGATTAAAACTAAATTTTACAATGGCCAAATTACTTTTATAGAACAAAAAAAAGAAAAACATTTATCCAAAGACTTGTGTTTGCAAACATCTAGGATTGTTTCTAGGCCAGAAAATATCTAGGTTGGAAAAAAACATCATGCTTAGTAAAGCAGAGGGGCAACCAAGAAGACTATCAATGAGACAGACTGACACAGTGGCTTCAACAATGGGCTCAAATATAGTAAGTGTGAGGTTAGCACTGGACAGTGTGTGTTGCTGTTGTACATAGGGACATTGTGGGTGGGAAGCAATTTGAGGGCACCTAACAACAGAACAATAGTCTTTTCTGAGAGGTAAAAACTTTTGAATAGTAGTAGCAACAAACACAGCAACAAAAGAGTCAAACGCTCAGATAATGGCCCATACACTATGGCTGGTTGGTTGACCAACCTGACACTCTTTAATTAGTTGGTCTTGAAAAGTATGAACTTAGGGAACAACAAGCGATCCAAATTGGTGGGGAGGTGGGTGTGGGAGACCTGGTAGGGCAGGATCAAGGGGAACGTAACAAAGAGGAAGTG